GGCCAGAGCACCTGCTCCGTGTTGGCGGGCCACACGGGCGCCGGGCCCGTGGAGGGCAGCGTGTACGGCGCAAAGAGCTTAGCCTTCGGATCCGCGGACCAGCGCGAGTAGAACGAGACGTGGCCGACCGGGTGCCAGTCTTGCGTGAGCACAACCATATCAAACTTGCCCTCGTCGCGGACCTTGTTGATGATTGGGATGATGGCCTCGCCGTTCGTCACCGAGAGGCTGCCAGTTGACAATGTAAAGTCGTTTTGGACGTCGACGATGATGAGCGCAGTCTAAATGACAAGCGATGAGCCGAGAACAAAATGCGGGACGTACCTTGTTGCAGGCGCGGAGCGACGACGCCATCACCGACGCACCAAAGGCAACGAGCGACGTAAAGAAGGTGGATGTAGCAACCATTGTGGAAGAAAATTAGAAATGAAGTGGGGAGCGCCGGGAAGGGAGCTTGTGGAAGCGGGCAAGCAGCGCCGTCCGTTGAGAACCACATGCTTCGGGTCAGCGCATTACCCCACCATATGGTTTCGCACTGGCGGCCAGTTCCTCTTCCAACTTGCACATCGACGTTCGAAAGCGAGCACGGAAGAGAGAGACGCATGGGAGAGGAGACTCACGGTCAGGTCTCGGACACCGAAGGCTCTCGAGGCGGCCATACTGGCATCACAGAAGACCGGTATCCTCTTGGCGAGCCATCGTGTCGTGGCCATCAATAGCATCGTGCCAGCTCATTACATGTAGATAGCCACACTGCCTACATGCACAGAGAGCCTACGGTACGGTATGCAGGTCTGGTCTCTCTTTTCATTAACGAAAAAGCGGGAGGGTGTGAGTACCGGTAACTCCACCAGCTGTGCACGACGGATTTCGATCAGGAACTGTTAACACGCCTCCCCAGCCCGGAACAGATGTTGTAGTAACAATATCCCGCAAATAAAAGCGACAAAGGCAAAATGTTGTTTGGTTTGGAGAGAGATAGTTGCCGCACGCTAGCTCCTAAGCCGTCGGGGTAAGGGTGGAGGGGTAGAGGGATTGTTGTATTTCGATCGGGACAAAGGAGCTTGGTAGTACTCATGCTGGCCTTGGACGGGCATGAGCCTTCTCTGTGCACCACTGGCCTTTGCCAGGGATTGTCAACGAGATGCGTCCAATGAGCTTCGATTTCGGTGCTATCAGCAGCATACATCCGCCGAGTACAGATCGAATCGTGTGTGGGGCAGTTCCGACCCTTTGCGCGTAAGCAACCCTGGCGACAGCATCGCTCTCGCTTTTTGGTTTCCGTCAAGTCGACGCCGTCTGCCAAATGAACGACGACTCGGTCGTCGCAAGCCCCTTTGTCGCATCTACTGCAACCATCCATAGACGAAAGCTAGCGAAGGCGATGAATCAAGCGTGGCTTTGGTCACAGCCATGTAGAATATGCACGCTATCAAGAACATACTACCTAACGTTTGTACATTTTTTGACATTTATGATCGGCCCGAGACTCGCCATCATCGCCCTCGGCTTCAAGATTGCTCCCAACAGACTAAGGTCAGCCACAGGATGTAACTAACTATACGTCGCCATGCGAAACAACTCGTCTCGTCGGTGCCTGTCGTTGAGGCAGCTTCCGGGATTTAGCGAAGGCATCAGACATCGTTGTAGGCAACGAACGTCCTGAGCGATAGGTCGCCGACGCTAATACACGCTCGCTCGTCTCTGCTTGATCGCAGAGACGGTGCTCAGGGGCGACCAAGGCAGTGTTGTCAAAGTACGCACCTCCTCGCTCAGGTGCCAAGCCAATGCACCTCGGTGATATGTTGGGCTTGCCCGGGTGGCAGACTGGGTTCTCACGCTTGAAGTCGCACTGCTTCAAGCCCATCACTGGCAGATCCCGAACACTGGCCACCAGCCGTGTACGTCTCGCGAGGCACTCATCGTGTGACACAAGTCCTCGTCGATGGCGCTTGACAATGTAGTATGGTTTCATGGCTTTAGAACGTCGGCTTGTGCACGGCCTCTTCCGAGCACCTCGACGATGGAGCGTCAACCGACGACACAGCATTGACGTGACCGATGCCTCCTGCGACTTGCTGACTCGAGGTGTCAAGAGCACTGCTCCCCACGCTTTGTGCAAGCTCCGGAACGAAAAGGCTGCAGCAATGCGCGCTCGTGTTCACACAACAGGAGCATTGCGTGCGTCCAAAAACGTCCTGAGATTCGTTCGTGCCAGCCGACGACGTTGACTCGATATGTAAACTCCGATCGAAACTCGAAGATTTCTGAAGGCATTAGCACGCATGGTGGTTCAAGTACTCGGCCGACGTCTTATACACGACACCGGCGCCCTTGAGTTTGCTGTACATCGCCGCCTGGGAGAGTGCGGCGACGGGGGCCGTCGCATCCGAGATGACCGTCACGTCGTACTCGTACACGGTCTTGGCGTCATAGGCCGTCGAGCCGACGCAATAGTCTTCCGCAAGACCGACGACGACGAGCTTGGTGATACCAGCTTGCTTGAGAATCGCCGGCAGCTTGGTCTCGGTCGTATGGTCGTTCTCGAGCAGCGCCGAGTACGAGTCGAGGTCGGGGTTCGAACCCTTCTTGATCACAACGTCCTTGGCGTCTACTTCGAGCTTCGGGTACAACTTGGCGCCATCGCTCTCCTGCATGCATCTCATAAGGGGACTGGCCTCGGAAGGATAAAGTGCATTACCTGCACGCAGTGGTCGGGCCAGAGCACCTGGATCGAGCCCTTGGGCCACTTGGCCGAATCGGGCAGCGTGTACGGCTGGAACATGGTCGCGCTCTTGTCGTCCTTCCAGCGCGAGTAGAACGAAATGTGTCCCTTGGGGTGCCAGTCCTGCGTCGTGACGACCATATCCCACTTGCCCTTGGCGCGGAGGTTGTTGATGACGGGAATGACGGCTTCGCCGTTCGTCACCGAGAGCGAGCCGTTGGGCGACGCAAAGTCGTACTGGACGTCGACGATGACGAGCGCCGTCTTTTCGGCGGCAGCGAGCGCAAGCGACGCGATGGCGGCGACGGCGGTGGCGAGGCGAATCATGGTGTTGGCAATTCAAGGCAAATGCAAAAGTGATGATGCAAAGGGACTGAAAGCCATAGCTCGACAAACTTCTGGCCGTGGACATCTGTGACTCACAACGTGCCAGCAACAGATGTTGTAGAATACAGTGCATGGAAGTGCGCGAAAAAATCGCCGATGATTATTGTTTGCTGTTTGCAGCTGGTCCTCCTTGTCGAGACCGCACTCGACTTTATACTATACCAACCTGCCCGGGATCTTGCTTCGCCCAGCGAAGCTGCAAGGGAACGCCGCACCCTTCTTGGGCTCCGACGTCCAACGACGATCGGCCGTAGAGACCGTTCTTGGCGGGTGTCGCTTGTCGCATCGGTGGCGTCGTTGTTTCCGGGAGCCGTGCGCACCGAAAACAACTTGGCTTTTGGCAAGGAAGGACGACGTTTACACGGACATCTCTGGCCCGTGGTGGTAGATGTTTTACTTGGGCTAAATATTGGTCGTTCGGGTTGTCGAAGAGAAATGATGGAGCGCCCTGTCGACACTTCAAGCGTGTGGGCTGACGACAAGACGACGACGCCTTCCTGATCGAAATCGGCTCAACGAAAACGACCTGGTTCTGGTTTCGACTTGGCTCTTGAATGGTCGTGGGGACTGTGGACTTCCACAACCCGACATTGATATTTACACTGATAGCGTACACTGATAAGCTTAGCTGCCACAAAACATTGCCAGCGAGTTTTCTCACTTTGTCGTAGGAGCTATCAGGGTCGAGTGTCGTTTCCACCCACGGCTCTCGGACGTTGAGGTGGTCAGAGCTATCAGTGGCCACAGCGTTGTCGGCGGGAAACCCTCCCACACTGCGTGGTTGCTATCGCAGCAAAGGCCCCAGAGAAAGTAAAATATTCATTTTCTCTTGCCACCAACAGGCCCAGCGAACGCACCGAAGAACCCATGGCTCTGCGAAAGCGTGACCCAAAGTCTGGTTGCTCGTAAACCAGCTTGCATAGTGCAGAACCATAATTCCGAGCGCCAAAGCATCGTATTCCTGCTACGGTACTACGTTGTGGGCAAGCTCCGCAGTGACGTCGGCTCTATGTCGCCGTTTGACCAAAGGGGCTGTGGTATCGTTTTGTCACCCAGCTTCGTCCTCGGAATGAACGCGAAAACATAGCGACACGACCTTTTTGAGTTTGAGCTTTGCTCGTTCGTTGCACTCCCTACTCGTAGTACGTCCCTCGTCCTTGGCTGCTAGCACTGTGCTTGCGCTTTCTCTCTTGTGCCCCTTTCCTCATACAGTGTACGTACACTGGACTGTGTAGGGGTACGTTGCAGTGCTACGCTGGGTCGTTGCGTTCAGTCTCCACGCCCTGTTGGACCTTCTCAAACAGTGTTTGTCCAAACCGCTGTTTGATATTCTGTGTGGCGCGGGTGTTTCGCGTTAAAGCGACCTTTAACGCATCGAGTTATTTTTGCCGGCACGTTAAATGGGAGCCAATCCGAGCGCGTGCCGCCAATTCGCCGCGTGTGATTGGGCGGATCGTCGCCAGTTGCCATCATGCTGTGGCCACGAGAGCAGTTCCGCGTCGCGTACAAGCAGGTCGTCTCGGACGCGCTCGACTCGAACGCAGCGAGCGTCCTCCTCCTCGTCGCCCTCGATGCAGACTCGATCGCCGCTTCCGCCATCCTCACCTCGGTGCTGCAGGCCGACATGATTGCCTACTCGCTCGTGCCCGTGGCCGGCAACGCGCAGCTCGCGGCCATGGCCTTTGCCGCCGACATCCGGTCCGTCTTCCTCATCAACTGCGGCGCCATGATCGACGTCTACTCGACGATGCAGCTCGGCGGCCGCAACATCAAGGTCTACGTCATCGACAGCCACCGGCCGCTCCACTTGGCGAATGTCTATGACCGGCACGGCACGGTGTTTCTCTTTGACGACGAAGCGCAGGCCGAAGACGACTTTCCCGAAGATGGCCCTGACATTGAGGCCATCGAGCAAGACGACGAAGAGGAAGAGGACGACGAGGACGACGAGGCCGCGTCCGACTCGGACAGCGACGGTGAGGCCGAAGTCGGCGACGGACTCGTGCAGGACGCCACGAAGAAGCGCAAGCGCAGCGGCTCCGACGACGATGATTCACTGGATGGCGAAGCCGAAGTTCATGTGATCCCCGCCACTGAATCCAGTGCCAGTGCGCCCGACGCCTCCTCGTCTTCCGAGCTCATGACGGCCAATGACGAGGACGACGGCAACGACAGCCTCGGCGACGACGTTGACAAGGACGCTGTGGTCGATGACATGGAGGACATTGCGTCCGGTCTCGAGACGGAAGAAGACGAACCCGACGTCGAGAAGGTACCGGCGCCTCGACCAGCCCGTGGCGCGTCCAAGCAGTACAGTCCATTTTATCATACATGTTGCATCTCGTCAACTCCTACGCTTGGTGTAGCCAACGCCGGATCGAGATTCTCCAGTACTACCGCGGGTCGTACTACGGCGCGCCAGCGTCAACGCTCTTGTACGAGCTCGCGTCCCAAGTGAACCAGTCGACGCCCGACAAAGTGTGGTTTGCGATCGTCGGACTCACCAAGCAGTTTGTGGCGCAGCAAATCGACGCGCACAACTACAACATGCTCGTCCAAAAGTTTCAAGACGAAGTGCTCTCGCTCAACCAAGCAGTCGATGACGTCACCGACGTCGACGGCACGGCACTCCCGACTGGTACGCGTCATCAATCAATCCAACCTATCAATCTATCAACCTATCCCATCTCATGCGGATGCTGTACAGTGCACGGCGGCACGATTGCGTTTGAGGAAGAGTACCGTTTCCTCCTCTACCGGCACTGGTCGCTCTACAAGAGCATGTACTACTCCAACTACGTCGCGGCCAAGCTCAAGACATGGCAGCCATCCGGGAAGGACGAGCTCGAAGTGTTCCTCGCACGCATGGGGCTCTCGCTCAAAGAGTGCCAGCAGAGGTACGTCGTTTGCGCTCAGCCAGGCGCGAAGATTTGATTCTTCATTTTTGCCATGTAGCTACACGTTCATGTCGATCGAGCTCAAGCAAAAGCTGCGCGAGAAGCTCCAGGAGATCGCCCCGGAATTCGAACTCGACGAGATCCTCTACGGCTCGTTTCGGCGGCAATTTGGTACAGATCGTTCGTAGTTTTGTTTATTTCACTGGCATTTTCCCGTAGAGTTCAAGTACCAGTGGTGCGCCGCCGACGTTGTGCATGGCCTCTCGGCGCTCCTCGAGGCGCCACCGTACCTGATTCAAAAGACCGTCGAGCACAAGGTGCCCGATGTCCTCGCCATGGACGAGTCGGTGCCGTTCTGGCAGCACAGCTTCCACATTGCGTCCCAGGCGCTGCCCTGGTCTCTCGACTAAATCGAGTGGGCAACGCTCATGTCTCTTGTAGCAAGAGCAAGCGCAGCTGCACGCTCTTGGAGCAAGGCATCAAGCTCGCCATGACGATGCAGAAAGCGATCGTCTCGATGGGCATCTCGATCCTCGACCGCAAGCTCATTGTTCGCATCAAGCACTTTCGATACGTCTGTCTCCGGCTCAGCGAAGACGACGAAGCCATGTTCTCGCATCCGTCGACGCTCTCCAAGCTCGCACTCTTCCTCGTCGACGTGCATCGCGAGCAAGGCAAGTGGACCGGCAAGCAGGCGTCGCCGTTCGTGCTGCTCTGCCACCTCAAAGCCCGCAACGTCTACTTGATCGTCGGCGTCACGTGCCCCGAGCGCGCGGGCGAGGTCCACCGCAAGTACACCGAATATGCTTCCTAACTTGTGACATTATGGATTTGTCTAGCAAACTCGGCACGGCGTTCAAGATGGCGGCCGCCGAGACCGGCGCCAAGTACACGCACGACGGCTTTGATACGACCGTCATGGAGATCACGCTCGACGATATCCAAGGCTTCATCGAGCAGCTCCACAACGTCCTCGACGCCTAATCGTCGCATTGTACACAGCGCTGCAAGTTGCCCAAAAGCGTTGAATGCACATTTGTCGAAATCGGGGCGAGGGAGTTGGAGCCGGCTGCAATGACTTTGATTTAGTTTGAATTTCATGCTAGTCATTCGTCGACTACGTTAGTAGAAAGGCCAAGCCAATGTATTGCTTTGGGTAGTACCCTCCATGGCTCTTGGCGTCACCACGCACAAGGAATATTGCATCCAGGGAATGAATGATGGAAGCTCCCTTGCATTTGATCGCAGACGGTAGAAGAAAAATGGGCGTGACGCCATCCAGTGTCTCGAGTTAGTTGATGGTATGTACTAAACGAACATTGCTGCACAAGGGCAATGCACTGACTGACTCAGCACTTGACATACATGTCTTCAACATTGTGGAAGGGTTGTCCCTAGTCTTAGTAGCGCGTCGCGTTGTTGTGCTCGTTGTGAGAGAGGGCCACGGCGATTGCCACACTATTTCCGTGTGTTTTTGAAATATACGGTATATTTACCTGCGTTTACCGAAAAATGGCACCCACTTGGCGCGCGGTGATAGGCCAAAAATGCGAGCGTCCGGATACACAAGCCAACACGAAGATGCTGGAGCGCGAGGAACTCGGAGCGTACGCGCTTCCGCCATGCAGCGACGAAGCCGTCGGCAGCGAGAGCGCGATCCTGGCGGACGAGGTACTATCCCTCCATGCGTCGGCGCATGGGACGTCGTTTGTCCTTGGGCTTCCCTCGGCCACGCACCTCTGCGACGAGGGCGAGGTCAAGCCGCTGCCGTTCTTGCCATCGACCGTCGCCACGAGCGCTGACGGCGCCACGGTCGTCGGGTGGCTCAACCCGAGCTGCGTCTCGGTCTACTACGAGGGGCGCGCGCTCATGTCCCGCGTCGTCGACATGCCCTCGACGCCATGGCGCACGTTCGTGTTGCGGTCGCGGGTCGTGGGCCCGCATCTCTTTGAGTTTGTGCTGCTCGTCGTCTGCGCCAAAGGCCACCTCGTGCACCTTCGCATCCAAAACAACGTCGAGCATTGCACCGAACTCGCCAACGTGACGCAGTGGCATCCTACGCTCACGAGCGGTGCGCTGGACGTTCCCGCCGGCCTCTTGGTGCTCGCCGGCGGCGTCCGCAGTGCGAGCGCCCACATGGCCCACGCGTCTAGTCTCAGTCTCTGGAAGCTCATCCTCGACGGCGAGCCCCGCGCCGAGCTCCAGGACTTTACAACCGTCCTCGGCGACGACGCATCGGTCGCACAGCTCGAGCTCGAAAGCAGCAGCACCGGCGGGTCGTCTGGGCTCTGGCGCTCGGCCAAGGCGCTCCTCGGGCTTCCGACCGAGTCGGAGACATTGACGCAAGGCCATATCGCGACGCTTGCGATTTCACCGGACGGGCAGACCCTCGCGCTTACGGACCGCGTCGGCCGGCTCTCCCTTCGTCTGGTGCGCTTCCCTTGGACGCCTTCATCCATCTCAGTTCTGTGCTTAGGTCGACACGAGCGCGGTTCTGATTCCGTGGACGCTCATCGCCGACGCGCCGACGCGCAGCGTGTGCTGGTTTCGATCACACCTCGTGCTTGCTCAGAGCGATGGCACGCTGCATACGTGCACTTTCAACGCCGAGTCGACGGCCTTGGACACCATCCAAGTGGCTGCCGCGTCACCACTGCGCGTCACTGGCGTGGCTGTCGCGCCCCGCGATGCGAGCGGCTTCTTTTACGCGTCGCGCGCAATGTCGGGCGAGGTGCAGATGGCGTCGTTCGCCGAGCTGCCACTCGAGACCGTGTACGAACGGCGCATTTCGCTCGGGCTTTTCGACGAAGCACTGGCGTTGGCCAATGAACATGGGTCGCTGGACCGCGACCTCGTGCACAAGGCCGCCGCGGCGATCGAGCCCAACGTCGCTCTGCGCATTGACGCCCACCTCCGGCACATCTCGGACGTTGGATACGTGCAGCATCTCGTGGCCTCGACGCTCGAGGCGTCAGCCGCCGACTGCGCGGCGCTCTGGCGCTTTGGGCTGGATTTGGACCCGACCTTTGGCGTGCTCGGCCGACTCCTCGACCTGCTCGAAACGTACCTTGCGCTGGTGCACGTCGAGACTGCGTCGCCGCCGGCCCCGGCGCTCGACCAGCTCTTGGCCAACGAGTCGCTCTCGCCGTTCTTTCATCCGTCGCTTCTCGAGGCCTTTCTGGACGCGACAATGTATGAGACCGCGCTCGCGCTCGCCAAAGACGGTCGGGTGGCTGCTCTCAGCATGCTCTTGGAGCGCTATGGCTACGAGCTCTTGCCCGATCGGTTGGCGCTGCTGAGCGCCCTCCCGCTCACGCTGGATCCTGTCGAGTACGCACACCTCTTGCCGTGTGTAGTGTCGCACGGCGTCGACGCGTACTACACGTGGCAGCATGGTAGCCCACCTCGCGTGCAATTTCATGAGCTCATTGGACGTAGGGGCGGCGCGAATGGCGACGTTGCGGCCGATCCCTGGTGTGCCCATGGACGAGAACGAGTGGGCGACGCATGTCGAGCCGCTACCAGCGCAAGCCAATGCGATTGCCGCTTGGGTGTCGGACCGCGCGGTGGCCATCGAGACGCAGTTTGGCCAGCTCGAGAGTGCAAAGGAGCTCTTGGACCTTGGTTTGCTCTGCCTTGGCGAGGACCCTGGTATGTTTCTACTATGTACTTGACGACAAGATCTTATGGATGACGCTCTAGCCCGAGATGACGTGGCCGTCTTGCAAGGTCACGTCGCGACGTTTGCTGCGTATGTATACGACTGCTGTGTCGACGTGCCGCTCGAGTGGACGCTCACGCATTGGCTCACGCTCTCGGATGCGGAGAAGCTGTCGCCGCTCGTGTCGCAGCCGGTCGACGTCGCGGCCGACGTGTTGGCCCGAGGGCTCTTTTCCGAAGCGCAGCTCGTCAAGTTCCTGTCCGGCCTCTCGATGGACGACGTTGTGCACTTCAAGTACGTGGCCGAGATGGTCCAGCGCAGCTGCCCCCGTCGGTCGGACCGCATTCTCAAGACGGACAGTTTGCTGCTCGAGACGGCGCTCGCCGCTTGCTTTGGCTTTACGCTCGCCGGCCGGGACGCGCCGACCGAGTTTATCGAGTTGGCGTGGGCCATCTTCGAGTCGTTGCCAGCGCAGGCTCCCTCTGGTGACGCACTCCTGACCGAGCTCATGGCACAGGTACCTACTTTGGTCTTTTGATTCATTGAGGTCAACTCTCGGTGTAGGTCGATGAGCTACAGGCGCTCATGGATGGTATGGAGCGCTGTGCAGCGTACGGTCTTCACTACAGTCCGCAAGAGCTGCAGACGCGCGCGCAGGACGTCGCCTTTGCCACCGAGACGCTGACGCATCTCGGTGCGGTTGCCAATGACGCTGTGACGGTCGTCAAGGACGCGGTGGACCTCGTCGACTTGGTGTTTCCGATTGTGTCGCAGGACGACGCGACGTCTCTCGTGCTCGGCGCGCTCTTGAGCCAGCCCAATGCGGACGCGGCGCCGGCACTGCGCGCGCTCTTGCCGTCCAATGCCTCCGAGATGATCGTGGCCGCCGCGACTGCGCACGTGCAGCGGGCCAACGGCGCGACGTCGCCAAGCCTCCAGCCGGCGCGTACCCTCCTCTCGTGGGTCGACGCGCCCGCCGCCAACGCGCTCCAAGGTGTCTTGGACGCCGCCGACGCGATGGAAACCTGGGGACACGTGTCGATCGCACCGCGCGACCTCCTTTGCGAATCCTCTTTGGATCGGCTGGCTCGGATCCAGCGGCTCTTGAGCCTGTACCCGGACAGCGGCGCCGCGACGCACGTCGACGACCTTGTTCGCTGGCTGGCTCTCGAGGCGCACGCGGTGCAGATCCGCGTGTGGGCGACCTACGCGCTGCTTTCGACCCGGAACTTTGCTTCGGCCATGCACGAGGCCGCACGCTTGCTCGAGGCCCTGCCGACCGCCGACGCCGACCTCTCGATGGTGTTCTCGCTCCTCTTGGACGTTGTGAGCTGCAGCAGCTGCGTCGATTGGGCAGCGCGGGCTCACTTAGCGTCCCAAGCGCTGGTGCATGTCACAGATCCGACGTTTTGGTCGGTGCTCCTCGGGTGGCAGACCAAGCTCGCAGCCCTGGACCGGGCCGCGACACTTCTCGACCTCTCGCCTCGCGATCGGGAAGCGTTTGCCGACGAGCGCCACGTGTCCGAGCACACGTGGCTGCTCGACCAGCTCAGCGTCTATCAAGAGATCGTCGTCGATCAGCCTGAAGCAGTGCTGCGCGCGTACCAAGTGGCGCTCTCGCTGGAAGCGGCCTTTGCCGAGGCTGGACCCTCGAGTTTGGCCAAGACGAACGTGGCGCGCGCGAGTCTCGACGCCTTGACGCCCAATGGCGACGCGTCGCTCGCGTTGGCGTACTTGGCCGACGTGTCGCCCGAGACGCGCCATGGTCTCTGGCTCGCGCGTTTTGAGCGCGCCGCCAGCGATCGCGAGACGCAGGCGTGGATAGCGACCTTGGCGTCCACGTCGCTGGACGGCACCATCTTTGCGGATGCATTTGTGTCTCTCGAAGCGGCGTCTGTGCACGAAGCGACGCTCGACCGGCTCGCGGCCGTCGAGCGTATCGACCGCCCACGCTTCGACAGCGACGAGCCGTATCGGTACGCGATGCTCTCGGCTGTCGCGCGCGCAGACCCCGCGCTGCTCACCGACGCCTACATGGTGGCCGACGCGTTCGGCATGGACCACTGGCAGCTCAACGCGTCGTTTCTTGAAGCGCTCTTGGTCTCGTCCGATGTGCGCGAGGTGGAGCTCAAGAAGGTGCATCTCCCGCTGCCGTTCCGCGACCAAACGACGACCGTGCTTTCCTTTGCGTTGACAAAGCCGTCCGCTCTTGTCGCGCGCCTGCTGAAACACACGTACGCGCAAGTCGACGCCAAGGACCTCGTGTCGCTTGAGTTTGTGTGGCGCCTCGTCTCGCTCGCATGGCAGCAAGAGCCGACGATTTCGCTGCCGTTGCCGATCGAGCGCGTCAAGCTCCTAATCGCGTGCGCCAAGGAGCTCCGAAAGCTGCGCGTCACCGTCGACTTCAAGGCGTTTGCGTGCTTCGAGAAGAGTCTCGACATGAAGGCGCAGGCAGCCTCGGCCGTCCAGGCGATCTTGCCGATCCTCACGGGCCAAAACATTCGGCTCGTCACGAGCATGCTCAAGCGCGTGCATGGTATTGCGACCAGCAGCGTCGTCTTGATCTACCTCGACACAGTGCTGGCCAAGTCCAAGGCCGACGTGGCGCTCGCGTACGAGTCGTGTGTCCCGTTCGCGTCCGGTCTCTCGACCGAGCATGTGCTCACGTTTCTGCATTTGCTGCTGGATCCGACGCGGTCGCTCGCGCTGTTTGGCCACGAGTTTGAGACACCGCATGAGGTCGCGCCGCATGTGCTGCCGCGCAAGCGCGTCGAGATCCTCGAAGACACGTATGCGCTTCTGAGTGCGCGCCCCGACAAGCAAAAAGGCTTGGCGCTCTTCGAAGCCCAAGCGCCGTTCGTGGTGCTCACGGCGCTCTTGAGTGCGTGGGAGATCGCCGTCGACGTGGCGTTTCCGCTACCGGATGCAAAGGCGCTGCCCGCGACGCGCTGGCTCAACGCACCATTGTCGCTTGCCCAGTGCCATGTTGTGCTGACGCTGTTGGCGCGCCTTGGGCTCGATGCGGACGCTGTCTGGACGACGAGTATTGACGCGGCGCTTCACGACTTGTCGCTCGACGCCCTCACCGCCTACTGCCAAGCCAAGTGGGCGCAGAACACCGAGACGAACGCTCAGTGGGTCGCACGCGTCCGGCTGCCCGGCTTCAAGACGCTTCCGCTCGACGCCGTGGCGCCAACGGAAGCGAAATGGCTCGAGCGGGTGCAGGCCTGCGTCAAGACCTCGCCGCGCGCCCACGACCTCCTGCGTGTGCTGACGGCGAATGTGCCGCCGGCCAAGCTGCGCTCGGTCGACTTGTCGGCGATGCAAGCGGCCGCGTCGATCGTGTCGACCTTGCGCAGCGTCGGCGACGACGAAAGCTACGCAGCGCACGAAGCAAAAGTGATGCACGACGTTGGTCCGCTCTTTGCCCATGCGCTGCACGCCCTCCCCGAGACGGTAGCTGCCAACGAAGCGCTTGCGTGGGTGCTGCAGCAGTGGCAAGCGTACCACCAAGTCACGTCGGCGCGGTCCTGGGTAGCTGCTCGCGACGCTGCGATCGTTGCCCGCCTTGGCCTTGCCGAGACGACGCCGCTCGACGATGCGCAAGAAGAACTCAATGTCGCGCCGCTCTGGCAACAGCTCTACGCCCGGAATGGGTGGACCGTGCCGGCGCTCACTGCGCTGCTGCAGAGTGACGCAGTGGCGTATGCGAGCTTGCGCCAAGACGACGCCGAGGCACTCCAGCGCGCTTTGCCGATGGGTCGGCTCGCCCTCGGGCTCTTGTCGCCATATGCCTCGATCCACGCACTGCTGTGGACCGAGCTCACTGCGTCGACACTTGCGCCCTCGTCGCTCCTCGAGACGCAGCTGGTGCTGCTGCGCTTTGAGGCGTGGATGGAGCTTCCGTCCGTGCTGCATCAAGTGCTTGCGGCCAACCGGAGCGCCTCGAAATCGGAGCTCTGGCTCTCGAGCAGCATGGCGTTTGTCGTGCTCGCATTCTTGCGGCGGCGCGACTATGTGAGCGCGAGCCGCGCCATGAGTAGTTTTGCCAACCTGCACCCGCTTCTGCGCAACGACCTCGACGCGGGCCTCCACGTGGCGCGCAACTATGTGCGCGCGACCAAAGGCGACGATGTCCCGATGGCGTGGCAGCGTCATTGGCCCGCTCTTGTCACCCAACTCGAAGCCGCGCTGCCCTAATCCTGTAATACGTACTAGTAGTAGTGTAATCGGTGCACGATGATCGGCACGCGCCAACGAAGCCTCGATGCTTTTCGAACCCCAGCGTTTCGACGGCAAACTTTCAACGACACGTGACCTAACGCTACTGCACCCAGTCGAAGGCCAGGCGGTGAGTCATCCATTCACCCCACGCATCGAACGTCGAGGCTTTGTATGGTCCATGCACCGTGACGACGGCCGTGTAGAGACATTGCTGCGCTGGCGAGCGCGGCTCCACCTGGGTTGAAGCCACCAGCTGTTGGACCTCTCACAATGCATAACTTGCAGCATATTGTGCATGAGTCACACCATTACCTATACATCTACCCTTTTCAAAACCCTTTAAACATGATAACCTGCCGCATACACCGATGCGAGGAAAGGGATGACTCTCGTCCTCCTTGCGACACGGTGGCGGCGGCCTTTTTTCGCTGAGTCAGTTTCTGGCCAACCACAGCGAGCGTCCTTTCTGAGCCATGCAAATGCATCTTATTGCATACAAATCACAAGATACTCTAAGACGGAGTTCAACCAGCTACAAACGCAAAGTGCAAAGTGAATCTTTGTATGCAAAGTGGGCGCGCACCGAGCTCCGGTGTCGCGTCGGCGCCTCTTCATCACTTTCACTTGCACCGTCAAGTCCCATGGCTGCCAGCAACGTCGCCGCCATCGCCAAGCGCCTCGACAGTCTGCCGCTGACGGGCCTCCTCGGCATCTCGGCCTACTACTGGGGCCTCCTCCTCAAGACGGGCGTCGGCTGGGGCATGGACTCGCTCGACACGTTCCTCTTCACGTACCTCGGCGCGAAAGGCTGGCAAAAGTCCATCGTCAACTACGACCTCGAGACCAAGATCATGACGCCGCTCAACGGGCACCAGCTCGGGCTCCTCGGGTCGGCCTCGTTTGCCGGCTCGTTCTTTGGCGCGCTCCTCTTTGGCCAGCTCGCCGATGTGTTTGGCCGCAAGCCCATGTTTATGATGACGCTGCTCTTCTTCATGACCGCGACGCTCATCTGCGGTGCGGCCGACAGCTACGGCATGCTCCTCTCGTTTCGCTTCCTCGCCGGCATCGGTCTCGGCGGCGAACTGCCTGTCGCGTCGTCGCTCGTCCAAGAGCTCACGCCCGCGCCGGTCCGCGGCCGCATCATCGTGCTCCTCGAATCCTTCTGGTCGATCGGCTCCATGGGCGCTGTCCTCATGGCGTTTGAGCTCATCAAGGTCGTTTCGTGGCGGTCGGTCTTCTACCTCTCGGCGGTCCCGGCCGTCTATGCGATTGCGATTCGCATCATGATCCCCGAGTCGCCCAAGTGGCTTGCGAACGTCGGGCGAATGGACGAAGCCGAGGCGATCGTCGCCAAGATCGAGCGTGCCCACGGCGTCGTCTACGACAAGGAGGGCGAGGCCGCCAAGGTCGAAGCCGATGAGCCCGTCACCGGTATGGACGTGCGCGGGCTCACGCAGCTCGAGCGCGTGGGGCTCATGTTCCGCGGCGAGTTTCTCTCGCGGACGCTTGTGCTCTGGGTCGTTTGGATCTGCCTCGCGTTTTCCTACTATGCGATTTACGTCTGGCTGCCCACGCTCCGCTCGAAAGAAAAGGGCGGCTTCAACCTCAACGGCTCGACAGGCACGATGATTTTCATCATCTTTTGGCAGTTCCCGGGCTACTTCTCTGCTGCGTACCTCGTCGAGATCATTGGCCGCAAGCTCACGCTCGTCATCTACCTCGTCGGGTCGTTCATCGCGGCCATGGCCTTTGGCTACGTCGACAACACGCAGACAAACCTCATGATCACCGGTGCGTTCATGTCGTGGTTCATGCTTGGCGCGTGGGGCTCGCTCTACGCGTACACACCCGAGAACTACCCGACGCCGATCCGCGCCATGGGCGCGTCGTACCCGGTCGCGGTCTGCCGCATTGGCTCGATTGCCGGCCCGTACATTGTGCCCATCATGATTGAGAACAACTGGTCGAGCAAGTCGATCATGTGGGTGTGTGCGAGCTGCCTCCTTGTCGCGTCCATTGTGCTCCTCGTCTTTGGCTTCGAGTCGCGCGGCCAGAACGTCGAGTCGGCGCCGATCGTCGAAGCCTACTTGTTGGAGAAGGCCAAGGGCGAAACCGGCCCGATCCTCACGCCGCAGTTTGACGAAGCCTAGAGCTCCATGTCGTAGATAGATGTACAGCCAGCAATGACCAATATAGAAGCGTTTTAAGTTACCAAATTTCCTTGTGCGAGCAAGCTGGACTCGAGCTATGACAAGCGACCGGACGTAGAGAACGGAGCGGCTATCACCTCGAGCGGTCACGAGTAGCTAGCAGCACTCGGTACAACACGCGTTAACTGGTGCCTTGCAAGCCTTGCGTCATGGGTGCGTTCTTGGTTGCGATCGTCAGCGGCATGACCGTCGCGCCGGCCGCAACGTCTGTTGCACATCGTTCTTCTTCCTCCTTCGGCGACCGAGTGAGTCATTGCAGTGCGACAACCAGGTGCCAACCTCGTGCCGATCGCCGGCTGCACCCAGCGATTGTGACAACCTGCCTTGCTGTCGCTCCAAGCACTTGGAACTTGGCGCGTGCTGTCGCCGGCGTTGGAATGACTGGCGAGAGAAGAAAAGACAGAGAAGGAGATCCCTCTGCTTCAAGAAGTGCACTCGTCCTGTCTACCCAGGGCACGCGCACGCCATCGCATTGGCGCGTGTCATTGGCTCCCGTCGGCGGTTGGCTGCGATCTCTTGCACCCATTCTTGAAGTGCAAAGTGGGACGCACCTCTGATGACTCAGCAGATGACTCACGTCCGCGATCGCCGACCCGCTCTCGACCCGCTCCCGAGGCATCTATCTCTGCACAGAGAAGCCTTGAACGTCTGCGCCGTCCAAGCTGACCTTGGTTTGACGATACTACCAAGCAAGCACTTCAAGTTTCGCGTCCATATCTGCCCATCCCCATGCGCCGTGTGTAATGGTCCACTTCGATGCGCCATCAAGCTGTGGGCAGGAACGCCATACGCCGGTGCACTGCGTATCTCGTCGTTGCTGGCAGCCAAAGACGCCCGCGGATGCGCCTGTAAATCTTGTCGGCAGTCCTTGCACAAGGAGTGTCTACTGTCTGTCCTTAGCGCGCGGTCGCTTGCCTCGCGACAGGCGGCCGATAGAACGTGACGACGTCACAGACCTCTATAAATGAATACCCGTCACGATATAATGTGATGACTCATCGGCTCTATACAAACTGACATTTCAAGTACCTCTAAGAATGCATACTGGTCATCGCGCCAGTGGGACTTCAAGAAAGGCGTGGACCTCGTTCGGAGTTCATTGTGCAATTTGCTTTGAACCGACCATGTCGAGCAACCTCCAAGTCATCTCGCACCGCCTCGACAGCCTCCCGATCCGCGGCTTCCTCGGCGTCTCGAGCTACTACTGGGGCCTCCTCCTCAAGACGGGCGTCGGCTGGGCGATGGACTCGATGGACACCTTCCTCTTTACGTACGCCATTAGCCACTGGTCCAAGGACATTGTCAACTACGATATCGAGACCAAGACGATGACGCCGCTCAGTGGTCGCCAGAAGGGCCTTCTCGGCTCGGCGGCTTTTGCCGGCTCGCTCTGCGGTGCCATCATGTTTGGCCAAATGGCCGACCACTACGGCCGCAAGCCCATGTTCATGGCCACGCTGCTCGTCTTCCTCGTTGCGACGCTCATCTGCGGTGCCGCCGACAGCTACGGCATGATGCTCTCGTTCCGCTTCATTGCCGGCTTTGGTCTCGGTGGTGAGCTGCCCGTCGCCGCCGCCTTGGTGCAGGAGCTCACGCCGACGGCGGTCCGCGGTCGCATCATTGTGCTCCTCGAGTCGTTTTGGTCGATTGGCTGCATGATTGCGGTGCTGCTCGCGATCGAGCTCACCAAGCACGTATCGTGGCGCGCCGTGTTTTATATCTCGGCGATCCCGGCCGTGTACGCGGTCGCGATCCGGTTCATCATCCCCGAGTCGCCCAAGTGGCTGGCGACCGTCGGCCGCATGGACGAGGCCGAGGCGATCGTCGCCAAGATTGAGCGCGCCCACGGTGTGACGTACGACAAGGAGGGCGAGGCCGCCAAGGTCGAGCCGCTCGTGTCGGAGCGCAACACGACCTTTGACGTCAATGGCCTCAAGCCGTACGAGCGTGTCGCGCTCATGTTCCGCGGTGAGTTCCTCGCGCGGACGCTCGTGCTCTGGGTCGTCTGGATCTGCATTTCGTTTTCGTACTATGCGATTTACGTCTGGCTGCCGGTGCTGCGCTCCAAGGAGCCCGGTGGCTTCAACCTCAACGGCGCGACCGGCACCATGTTCTTCATCATCTTCTGGCAGCTCCCGGGCTACATCTCGGCCGCGTACCTCGTCGAGATCATTGGCCGCAAGAAGACGCTCGCCATCTTCCTCGTCGGCGCGTGCGTCTCGGCGCTCGCGTTTGGCTACGTCAAGAACACGCAGGCCAATTTGATGATCACCGGTGCGTTCATGTCGTGGTTCATGCTCGGCGCGTGGGGCTCGCTCTATGCGTACACGCCCGAGAACTACCCGACCCCGATCCGCGCCATGGGTGCGTCGTACCCGTCGGCCTTTAGCCGCATCGGCGCCATTGCTGGCCCGTATGTGGTGCCCATTATGATTGAGAACAACTGTACGAGCGAGACCATCATGTGGGTCTGCACGGGCGTGCTCATGTTTGCGGTCGTCATCCTCGTCGTCTTTGGCTTTGAGACGCAGGGCCAAGACGTCGAAACGGCGCCCAAGGTCGAGGCCTTCTTGGCCGAGCGCCGCGGCGAAGGCGTCCAGACGCCGGTGCGCGAGTACTGATGTCTCTATCTATAATGCAGTCTTGTCGTTTGGTCTTCTTTCACACGGAACTGGTTTTTGGCGGGTGGACTTTCGACTCGGAGCGTGTTGTGCTGGACGGCGGCAGCGGCGAGGTTTAGCCGCGTTGATGGCGAGGCGTATGGAAGGCGCAAGCCGAGACGAAGCCAGGCGGCGAAGCTTGGGTCTTCAGCAGCAGTAGTAAAGATGTAGCTTCGTCAAGAACGCAGCGCAGGTAGCGGCCGCTTCGAGCGTCACGACGGGCGCCTCGGGACGGAAGTCGGGCGAGCCAGACAGTGTACAGCGCGCAGGCTCGTAGACCGGCCACACCATGTCGACCACGCGTCGGTGGTCACCAGTGGGTCAAACAAGAGCGCGTACCGCGTCGTGGGGAGGTCCACTTCCAGCGCATCGACGAGAAGCCGAAAGACGGACCAGACCGCATGACAAATTAGAAGCGGAGCAGTACGTCTCGGGAGCCAACAGGTCTTCACCCGGAAGTAGAGCCGGGTGTGGACTGCGACGGCGCGGTACATGGAGTCAGCGTAGCGCGGCAGGATGTGGGCTGACGGCACTCGGCGGCAGCGGATAAAGTGATTGGAGAATGAGGCTATTGATACCTCTGCCATGTGAGCTAACTCCGCTTGGTGCGAGTAGTACGTCGTACAAGAATGATACTTTTACGAGGCTCTACATAGCCGTGTTGCCTCGACCAGCAGTGCCGATCCCGGTCAAGCCAACCACTCGCTATTCGATGGGCGACCTTGAAGGCGGCGTCTCGGCACTTCGACTCGGTGAGTCATTGGACTATTCGTTTAACAGCCGCATCTGTCCATCAAAGAACGAGAGTGCTGGTGCTGGTGCTCAGCACTGAGGTCAGCAGAGCGATCCAGCCGCGGGCAAAAAACCTGCTGCGGTGGAATGGCTCATTTGTTTCGAAGCATCTCTTGCGGCCTAGCCCGAAATCAACTACGTGAGGACCAAGGCAGATAGCTGCATGGCCGAGCAAGATGGCAACCGAGTGGAGGCTTGGTCCTGGGGAGCTGCACCTCCGTGTCGCACCCGCGAGTATCTCGGAGCTCGGCGCTCGGTGCTCGGCTTTTGGTGCGCCGATCACGCGACCTGCGCGTCACTCACAGTGTGAGCAGCGTATGATCGCATCGCAGCGTGCCAGTGAGGCGACTGGCGCGCTTCAACTTTGCGTCGGCTCATTGCACGCGGGCCGAGGTGGTGAGCGGTGCATGTCGGTGAGTGGCGCCAGAAGTACCCTACCCCGGCAAAACCTTTCACATTGCATACCTTCTAGCATTGGATTGGATGACTCATCGGGTATACAGCTTGCTGCGTTGACAAAAACCTGTCACAATACATAAAGAGAGCCAACGCATAGTGCACATCGAATCCCGACGCACGTACACAAGCGTAGTGATCGCCCGCAGTCTCACTTTGGCTTTTGCTCTCGAGCACCATGGCGTCGCCCGTGCAAGCGATCTCGCACCGCCTCGACAGCCTCCCGCTGACCGGCTTCCTCGGCGTCTCGAGCTACTACTGGGGCCTCCTCCTCAAGTCGGGGATTGGCTGGGCGATGGACTCGATGGACACTTTCCTCTTCACGTACCTCGGCTCGAAAGGCTGGAAGACTGACGTGCGCAACAGCGACGGCTCCAAGCTCAACGCGCACGAGCTCGGCCTCCTCGGCTCGGCGGTCTTTGCCGGCTCGCTCGTCGGTGGCATCTTCTTTGGCCAGTTGGCCGACACGTATGGTCGCAAGCCCATCTTCATGGCGACCTTGCTTCTCTTCATGCTCGCGACGCTTGTCTGCGGCGCCGCCGACGTCTACGGTGTCTTGCTCGCCTTCCGCTTCATCGCTGGTATCGGCATGGGCGGCGAGCTCCCGGTCGCTGCGACGCTCGTCCAAGAACTCGCGCCGGCGCCAGTCCGCGGCCGCATCATCGTGCTCCTCGAATCATTTTGGTCGATCGGCGCCATGATCGCTGTCCTCCTCGCGTTTGAGCTCACCAAGCACGTCTCGTGGCGCGTCGTCTTTTACTTGTCGGCGATCCCGGCGCTGTACGCGGTCGCGATCCGGTACCTCATCCCCGAGTCGCCCAAGTGGCTCGCGAGCGTCGGCCGCATGGACGAGGCCGAGGCGATCGTCGCCAAGATCGAGCGCGCCCACGGTGTGACGTACGACAAGGACACGCTCAAGCCGACTGTGCTGACGCCCGGCATGGACACGTACAACTGCAGCAGTCTCAAGCCGTACGAGCGCGTCGCGCTCATGTTTCGCGGCGAGTTCCTCGCGCGCACGCTCGTGCTCTGGACGGTCTGGTGCTGCCTCGCGTTCTCGTACTACGCCGTGTACATTTGGCTGCCCGACCTCCGCGGCAAGGAGAAGGGCGGATACAACCTCAACAACTCGACGGGCTCGATGTTCTTCATCATCTTCTGGCAGCTCCCGGGCTACCTCTCGGCCGCGTACCTCGTCGAGGTGTTTGGCCGCAAGGTGACACTCGCCGCCTACCTTGTCGGGTCAATTGTCTCGGCGCTCGCGTTTGGCTACGTGGAGAATACGCAGACAAACCTCATGATCACGGGCGCCTTCATGTCGTGGTTCATGCTCGGCGCGTGGGGGGCCCTCTACGCGTACACGCCCGAGAACTACCCGACGCCGATCCGCGCCATGGGGGCGGCGTATCCCTCGGCGTTTAGCCGCATTGGCGCCACCGCCGGACCGTACGTGGTGCCGATCATGATCGAGAATGGCTGCAGCAGCAAGACCATCATGTGGGTCTGCGCCGGGGTCCTTGTGTTTGCCGTCCTCGTCTTGGTCGCCTTTGGCTTCGAGTCGCGCGGCAAGAACGTCGAGTCGGCACCCCGTGTCGAAGCCTACCTCGCGACACGCCTCGGGCAGAACGAGCCATTGGTCGAGACACCCGTGCGCAACGACGAAGCCTAGTGCGATAATCCAATTCTTTTGATCGATCTACTTGTGTATACATAAGCGAGTGACTCCGACGATAGCTCGGCAAAGGACAACATGTCCGCAGTCCACCAGCACCATGTCGCTGGTGCTCTAGCGAGGGTAGGGTCGCGCCGCACGAAGGGTTAGGGTTCTTCACATGCGTACTAGACGAGCTACTATGCGACACATTGCACCGCAAATATAACGAAATCGCTGAATAGGGTTGCGAGGCCCAGCATGTTCTAGTCGCCTACTACTACAAGAAGGAGAGGACGGCGCGGGCCGCCGGCCGTATCCAATGGCCATACTTCCACGAGAAGAGGCCGTGCAGCTGTCGATCCGGTCGCTTCCAGAGTGCGTCCGTGACGAGTTCGCTGTGCGTTCGCAGCTGCTCGTACTCGCCTTGAAACGTGGTTTGAAGCGCCGGGTCGGTCGTAAACAAGTAGACCTATGAAGCATAAGAACTGGTTCCGTCCTTCCCGCGCGACAAACCTGCGACTCGAGGTCCCGGCCATACGAACGCTGGCCAAAGTTGGAGCTGCCGACGATCGTGAGTGGCACCGCGCCGTTGCAGTCGTGGACCCACAGCCCTTTGCCGTGGAACGTCCAGTTGCTGCGGTTGTATTCGCGCAGCGTGAGCAGCTCAGGTCCAAACCGATCATAGAAGCCGGCTTCGATGAGCGAGTATGCCATCGGGAGGGCGCCCTTGATGCCGTTGCCGTTGAAGAAGCCGTTGGCCATCGGCGCCGCCGTGAGCACATCGAGGGGCACGCCGCGGTCGACGAGCGCTTCGGTCAAGAAGGGTGGGAAGTTGAGGTACCCGGATGCAATGTCGACCGACGAGTGCTCGGGCAAAAGGCCGACGAGCCGCGACAGCGTGTGCTGGTCCTGGACGATGCGCAATGGCGAAAATTGAATCGTTGGCATCGCCCACGTCGTCGCATTCGACGGCTCAGTCACCGACGGGTACTGCTGCAAGTCGCTCAGTGCATTGGCAAAGTCGGCGGCCGACCCCAATGGCGCGTTCACGAGCGGAACGCCATTAGACATGGACACGCCATGCGCGTGCTCGGCCATGACCTAGTAGCACAGTCGAGACGAAAGCTGCAAATGCAATACAGTGGCTACCTCGACAAAGGTGTGGTAGAAGGCCGCGAGGTGCGTCGAGTGGATCTGCACGTACCGGTCCTGGCGCTGCGTAAAGTAGTCGCCGCTCAAGTTGGCGCCGCTCATGATGAGCGTGTCATCGCAGAGGTAGACCTTGGAGTGGCTCACGCCCATCGTCTCGTCGAACGGCGGTGGCAGGCGCTTCGCTGCCCAGTGCTCGAGCTGCGGCACGCGGTAGAGGTGCAAGCGGACATTGCCCGGATGCACATCGAGGAGCGGTGCGAGGACTGCTACCGAGCTCTTGGCCGTGTTGCCGCCGCGCTGCCCGCGCGAGTAGTCGAGCACGATGGACACTTCCAAGCTTGGGTTCGCGGCCACGGCTTCTTGCAGCGTGGCGACGAGCGCGCGGCTGAGGTCGTCCGTGCCAATGTAGAGCGACGAGAGGCTAATGCGGCGCCGCGCGGCGCGGATGTTGGTGAGTAGCTGCTGGTAGAACGCATCGGGCGACGTGAGCACTGAGACCGCGTCCGAATCGAGCGGGAACGACGGGTTCGAGAGCGCGAGGTCGTCAAAGACACCTTCGACGGTCACCTTCGGGCTTGGCATGAGGTCCCTTCAATGGCTTTTTCATCGCATACATTCTTCAAGACCGAATTGACCGATGGCATGAAACGCGTGGCGAAAATCACGCAACTTAAGACTGCAATGCGGGGTTCAACGCCGCCACGCTGCTGCCTCGCCGCGCCGTCGACAGCATAATGAGTACTCTCTTCTATGCAAGAATGCGACGTAGCAACGCACGTGCTCGAGGTGTACTTATGGTGAGTGGTCCTAGCTTGACAATGCAGTGTGGGGACATCAGATCGCAAAATGGCGTGCATTTAGACACCGTATCGTGGAGCTTGCCCGACACGGTGCACTCGCCTGCTATACAGTGGCTACCGTACAGAGGTATGCTATTTTGTTATTATAAGAGATGTGGGGCTCTCGCGGTAGCATCGTACGCGAGCCAAGGACGAGGTGTATCGGTAGCGCACGCCTTCTTATCCCGTAACCTGTATATATGCATATATTGCTAGCGCCGTGGCGATCGGCCAGCAAATAACTTGTTTTGAGTATGTGCCTCCTCCTGAAAACAGATACCTGTTGAAATCGATAGCAAAATATTTGGCGCAAATATCGAGTTTGACAATAAATCGTCAGTTCCGATGCGAGCAACCAATTCGGGCTTTCCAGGCACAGCATGAACGGCTTCCAGCAGCAGCAGCGCTACAACCGCGAGCAGCAGGAGGCCGACCTCGACGAGGTCCTCGTCGGCGCGCGCCATCTCAACCACCACGCCAAGGCCATCAACGGCGAAGTCGTCTCGCAGAACCACCTCATCGACAACCTTGGCGACGACGTCGAGGCAGGCGCGGCTGAGCTGCGCTTCCAGGCCGAGAAGGCCGCGCTTGTCAACGCCCAGAAGAAGAAGGTACACCGAGCCATCTGTGCGATAGGCTTCATGGTACCTCTGGTGTAGATGTGCTGGTACTATGGCATCATTGCGATCCTCATCGTGATCCTCATCGTCTTATACGCAGTGTACGTCGCCGGTCGATAGCTTCCTTCGCGCTCACGATGCACTTAGGCCGCTGTAAATGATGACCCGATTCAAGCGTCTGACAGATCGAACCTTCCTATATACTACCACCAATGCACCTCCACCACTCTACTCCTGTCGTCTTCTTCGTCCTCGTGGCGCCATGAAAGGGAAATATAAAAGCCTTCCAGCAATATTCACAGGCTAGCGCCGTGGCCTTGTAGTCCATTGTGCTATTTCAGCGTCGAGACATGTCTGCCTTGTGCAAATATGAAACCTTTCGGGCAATTTGCGACTTTTCACGTTAGAAATCAGACAGCGCTAGTGCCACAAATGCAAAGATACTTGCCTCGGCCGGTCAGCTTGATGAAATGCTGGATATGCGAGCGAAAGTGGCCTTAAATTAGGTCAAAAGCCATCAACTCCACGTCGGATCCGCGTCAAGATGTAGAAGTCTACCCTTTGCACGATTGAAACTACCGCTGCAAGGCTGTCGTAAGCGAAATAGAGCTCTACGGCCGAACGTTAACGCTAGTACGTTCTTGGCGCAATCGCAGTGGTCTCGAGCGATCGTCGTCAATAGCTCTTGTACCGCGAAAGATATATATTCGCGTGGTAATCACCGAGGCAGCCTTGGGCTCTGCACGATATTGGATCTTCCGATCTCAAAGCCTTTACGGCGTCTTCTCACAAAGCTCACAAGAACTTGGCAGACACACAGACCAGCATTCCGCTTTGCGAGCCGCCGGATTTTCGGCGTTTTACTCTTCTACGTCAGCGTTAAACCTATCGATGCTATTTAACGTATTGCATACTGTGTCTATTCTCTTTAACGCATATTGTGTCACACGCGGGATGTCGCACAAGCGACGAGTATTTTTTCAGCGCTGAACATGGCATCGACAACAGCGTACCGCCGGTACGACCTCGAGCACCAAGAGGCCGACCTCGACGTCGTCTACGCGGGCGCCCAGTCGCTGCACGCCCGCGACATCCACAATGAAGTGCAGATCCAGAACCCGATGCTCGACGACCTCAACCGCGACGTCGAGGCCGGCGCCGACGAGATGCGCATCCAAGCCGAGAAGGCCGCGTACGTCAATGCCCAGCGCAAAAAGGTACGTCGCTCTGCATGCAATAAGACATGATCCGGTAGTATTTCATATTTAGGTGTGCTGGTACTATGGTGTCATTGCCATCTTGGTGGTCACCAACGTTCTTCTCTACTCGATCTCGCCGCCCAGCTAATGCACCATTATGTATACCATCTCGAGCTACGCCATCACTGCCTTGCAGCACAGCTCGTATTATAGGCAGTGAGGCACTAAACTCGTATCCGTTTATCCCACGTCAAACATGGTTACATTAGACCACCAGGAATCTTTGCGACTTACAATGGCAATCAAATCAAGGGACCGTAAGCTCGCTCGGTACCTCCAAGGAAGCACACAGTCAACTTCAACGCTTGGACTACAGAGATCGAGTCGATAGGACTGGCCCCTTGCAGGAGGTTAAATGCATGATGTCGTGGACGGGTGTCAATCTGCAAGAGACATACTAGAAGCCACAAGTAGGCACTCAAGGGATAGCCATTAGTTGAGAATTAGAAGGACGAGTTAGAGAGCTGAACAAAGCTCAGAAAGGCAAGCATGATCTCGTGCCGGGTCGCGTGTGGGTCTTGGACGCCAAAGCTGGAGCTATAAAACCACGCAAGCTTTTTGAGGTCCCGGAGCGAGAGATCCAAAAGCTGCGTTCGCGTCGTTGGAAACTGACGCGGTGTGCTCCCCACGGGACGAGGCAGCGGCCCCGCGACGCCGCTTGCGACAAACACGGGGCGCGCGTGGCCGGCCTCTGTCTTAGGCAATGGCAGAAGCGCGTCGCTCATTGCGCAGTGGGTGTTGTGCACACGGGCGATTTGCACTTGCATTTGCACCGACTGCAGTGCGCTGGCAGCGCTCAGCTGGACCTCGAGGCGGTTCAAACCGGCTTCCAACGCCGCAAAGCGACGCTCGAGAGAAAGGGAATTGTCGTCATGCGTCATGCGGACCACGAACATTGGCATCGTCGGGCGCGAAGGCGGCAGCATCAGAGGAGCGTAGTAAGGAGCGCTGTTGAGCATGTTGTTGGGGCTAGAGCTCTCGTTGGCAAATGCCAACTCCTGCGCGCTCTTCTTTCGTGTGGGAAAAGCGAGCTCATGCAAAGGGCTCATGCTAGCCCTGTCGCTTCGGTGGTGGAATTGCGCTTTTACATTATTCAGAGCAATAGCAAATCACTTGAAGGCAGGGACCACTATACTCAAGACTCGAGCACCTGGCGAGATTCTCGCAAAGCTGGCATGGCATCGTCGCGTCTTGCGTCTACTTTAGCTGCAAACGTCGCTGCGTCGTATCTACTTGGCGGCCTTGACCTACACAAGTACAGATGCGAGATGTAGCACTGCACTTGCAGCACCACGCTTACCGCGTGCTCGAAGCAGAGCTTGAGCTTGGCAAACTCCTTGGCACACGCGTCGCGGTTGACGCCGCCTTCAATCTTGGCCACGCAGGCACCATACGCTTGCACCTACGAGTGCCGCTAGCATTGCCATGTCCACGGCCTCCATCGGGACGACGTACGTCCATGGGGCATGTGGCCATCATGTGGCCAAAGGCCTTGGTCATGCGTCGCGGCGACTTGGTCATCGGCTCGAATGGAGTGTGTGGGATTTTGACCAATCCAAAGCCGCAAATCATTTTGGCCAATCCGGAGCCGAGGAGCGCGGCCAGTGGCGAAGTCCAACCGGTGAACTTCGCAGACCTTCAGAAACCATCATGCTCGCTCGCGCTTCGATCCTCTGCGGCCGCGCCGCGCCGCGCATGGCCGCCCGCGCCTTCTCGACCGAGCATTCCTCGTTTCACGCCAACCTCCCGCCGCTCAGCATCACGGAAGCGCAGGAGCTCCGCGCACAGGTCCGCAATGAGCAGATGCGCAAGGAGCACTTTGCCTCGAAGGCCGAGTACCCGGATGCGAGGTACGCTGCTTGGCCGCGCACGGCGAGCTTGCATGTCGTATTCATGCACGTGCACTAGCCAAGGCGAAAAAGCCATTGACGCCGACATGGCCAACCGCAAGCGCGTCATCTACCGCAGCAAGCAGCGCGGCTGGTACGTCGCCAAGATCGCATCTCTGCCCGCTGACCGAGCTCTCTTAGGTTGGAAGTGGACTTGCTCCTTGGCCGCTGGGCGAGCGAGAACGTCATGTCGCTGACGGCCGACGAGCTCCGTCAGTACGAAGACATTCTGAACCGCGAGACGATCGACATTTTCAACTTCATCTCGGGCAAGGACACCGTCCCGCCGGTACGTGCGCTACCATGTCTCGTTTGAGAGATACCAAATCGTGCGTAGGAGATTGACACGCCTATGATGAAGCGCCTGCAAGCGTACTGCAAGACTAGCCCGCTCGGGAAGGCCTCCCTCCAGGGCTTCTTGGACAACAAGAAGTACATGAGCAACTAAGCTCCACAGACCTCTGATACGCTTGTTCAAATGCATTCTTTTGTTCTTTTAAGCCTCGATACCTCCGTGCACGGCGTCGCTGCCAAAGGCTTGTGCCAGCACCGCACCTGGCCACGTGCAGCATATTGACCGAGTCCAGCCGTCCTGGTAAGCAGTAGTCTATGAGCTTGTCACGTCATGGGATAAAGAGAACCTGAGATCAAATGCTTCCTGTGGGCGTGGGCCCGTGGGCTCGATCTGCCCGACTTGCTGCAACGATCGGGCGGCACCGCTGTTAAAAAACGTGTTAATTAACGGTCGTACGAGTCCCGGTTTGCGCACTACTTCAAATGTGTATGTCGACAATAAATAAAGGTGTACGGGTGCGTTTAGAAAGGCCGCGAATGCCATTCGAAGACAGACAGACATGGGCCGCAGTTGGTCGTCGTACGAAGAGAGCTCGGCGCCGGCAAAGAAGACGGCGGACGCGGCTCCGCCGGCCAAGCCCTTTAACTATACGACGCTGCGCCACAAGCTCGTCTTTGGCGGCCTCGTTGGTCTCTCGACTGGCCTCACCTTTGGCAGCGGTCCGTCGCCAGCCCTCAATCAAGCGTCGCTCATACATACTACCTTTTCTAGTCGATGCAGTGCGCCAAGCCCATACGCAGTACGGACGCATCAACGCGCAGGCCATTCGGTCAATCTCGCGCACGGCCGGCATCTGTGGCATGCTCTTCTCCGGGTACGACGAGCTGGATGCCGCCCATTCTTACTTGACCCATGGTGTAGCTTCTTCTTCTCGTACCAAGGCATCAAGACGACGATGGAGCAGTTGCGTGGTGCCGAGGACTTTGCCAACGTGGGCGTCGCGGCGCTTCTCTCGGGCGCGCCGTTCATCCGCCACCCGGTCATGCGGACCAACGCCATGTACGCGGCGCTGCTCGTCGGTCTCGACCTCTTCCACGAAGAGATCAATGGCGCGCGCCCGTAGAGTCGATATGTATAAGACGCTATAGACTTTATGTGAGAGTGCACTGGCAATAAGAATGACAATAAGCGTCGCTAATCGCACAAAAGCGACGAGATGGACCCGCGCGCCTTTTCGTCGCGGAGCACTTCGAAGCAGCTCAAGTCCATGTCCAAGGGCTTGCCGCCGTCGTCGCTGAGCGTCGTGTCGTCGCTCATCGAGTCGCCTGCGCTGATGTCTTTGCGCCGCTCGTACTCTTGCGCCTTGCGGCTCTTCCCGTTCGGGTTGTGGATCACGTCCGAGAGCTCGCGCCGGAGGCTTGCAATGTGCGCTACGAACCGCGCCTTCTCCACCTTCTCGACCACCGTGTCGGCGACGGCTTGGAGCGACGTGATGCGGTTCACGAGGCTGCGGATGCGCCGGTGCGGCCAGCGCGAGAGACCGTTCTTGCGGCAAATCTTCTTCATGAGCGTGATGCAAACGCCCATCTCTTGGGCGACCACGGCCATGGGCTTGTTAAAGTGCGGCCGAAGCTCGTTGAGCGTCACGCCCTTGACGTTCCAGCCGTTTTGCGGTGGAGGCAGCGCGGGTGGCAGCAAAAACGAGAGCAAACTCGCGCCGTCGGCGTCGTTGACTGTGGATGCCGACACGCGCCGCGTGGACACCGCGTCCAGAGACGGGGCTTGGAGCACCGCACGCTCGAACGTCTGCACCTTAGACGACTCCAATTGCTGCGCCTTTGCTTGTTGCTGCAGACGTTCTTGGTGTTGCAGGCGCTGCAAGTCTTCCTCGGCCAGCATGCGATGGTACGTGAGCTGATAGACATTGCGCTCGATCCGCTTCTGTTGCTCCTGTTGCTGCATGAGCTCGTGCTGCCGTCGCATGAAGAGCTCCTGGAGGCGGTGAGGCGCCGCACACCGCCGTGATCGACCGAGCTCCTTCTCTTTCAAGCCTAACGCGTGGCGCTGCCGCCGCATGAGCTCGTGCTCGCGCTCTTTCCAGAGCCGATGCTGCGCTTGGGCTTCTTGGACGAGGGACGGAGGCGCCGGGTTCGCGCGTTGTCGGTCGTTTTCGGACGGCAAGATTGTTTGAAAACGCGGCAATGGCTCGGCGAGCTGCTCGCGCGGACGCCACGGTGGCATCTCCACCCGGTCGCTGGTTCGGAGCGGCCGCAAAACAAAATTGGGGTCGAGCATCAGCGGTGGCCGCAGCGGGCGCCCCATGACCGCAGCGGACGCGTCACCATGCATGCGCAGCGACGTCGCTTCGTTTGCCATGCGTTCGAGGTCGAAAGTTGGTCACTGACGCTTCGCATGCTGCTGGAAGCGCACGACGGTTTTGACAAAGCAAATCGTGATTTTCGAATGCCCCGATCTGTCGCGCGTTCGGATTGGCTCGTAGGTTTGCGACGACGCAGCGATTGGTTTAGCCCAGACGTTTCGACCAATCGTGGCGCAGCAGCAATTTCGAACAGGTCCGAAAGGGCTCAAGCGTGACCTTTCAGAAGTCGGCGGCCACGGCGATGGAAGCCACCGCCTTGTCTGCCGTCCGGCTCGACACCCAACGTCATCCATGTACCGATAAGAAGCTATAAGCACTTTCTCCAGGAACGTACCGAGTGGGGGGCTTGGGCGATATTAAGAGGTGGGCGCCCCTTGGGCGAATGAAACGAAGGCAGCTCGGCGGAGAAGGATGTGTGATAGGCAGTGCAGAGTGGAAGCTGCTTCTCCGCAGCTTAGCCCTGGCATTCGTCGCCAAAGGTCGTGGGATACGGACGCCGCTGGCGCCACGTTCCCGCGCTGGCATGACCCATGACGCTGGTCAACAACATCATTTTCTCACATCGAATTTGCTTGTTCAAATATACCATCCCCATGGCTCACTTCGAAAGCAGCGGGTTCTTTGTGTTGAGCGCTGCCTGAAAGGCCGGCTCGTCAAACATACCCGGGCGATCGATGAAGTCCAAGAGCATCTCGACCGACTCTGTGCCGAAGAAGAGGCGACCTTGGTACTCGATGGTCGGGACGCCGAAGACGCCAGCGTTGACTGCATCCTCGGTGTTTTTCGTGAGCTTGGCCTTGACTGCCTCGTCCGTGGGCTTGGGAGTCGACGCTGGTAGCCCAATCGCTTCGCAGAATGCGGGCCATTCGTCGTTGGGGTCTCGGCCATCGGCAAAGACAAAGGCAAACGCCTTGTCGAGCATGGGCAGGTCGGCGTCAACTTGGGTCAGTAGGCGCTGCGGCGCGAGCGGTGAGAACGGGTGCAACGGCGGGAACTTAAATGGGACGCCCAGTTTCTCCGTCCGCCAGACCATGGACGCATACGAGAAGGCGCGCTTGGACGGGATCTCCGCCGGGCCAATGTTCTTTTGCGAGCGCAGAAGGCCGGGGAGGAAGACGGGCACGGGGCGCAGGTCCAGCTTTGCCTCGAGCGGACCTCTCGTTCGCAAGAGGATGTGCGTAAAGGGCGAGATGATGTCGTAGTACAGGTTTGCGCGGGGCTTCATGGCACTTCGTTGCAGTTCCGACTTTGCCTGTCGCCTCAACGTCAATCGAAGTTCGAAGATACCTTGAAGTTGGGAAGATCGCAACAATTCGATTGAGTGAGCGAACTTGTGTGCTTGGGAGGCTGACGCCAAGAGCTCCAGTGTTAGTGACGCTACTAGCTTGGGCACACTAGTCGCTTTGTCTTTGAGGACTTGTGCATTGTACCCTTGCGCTCGACGTGGCAAGCGACGGGCACTTCCAATACCAAATGCTTTTATACGATGATTTTGTGCCAAGAACTTTGTGGTTTTGACAAGATGATTCAGCTGTGTTTCCAGGCAGCTCGCATGTAAATTTGCTGGCGTTTGTAGTGAAATTACTAGAGTTCTAGAGCTATAGGTATCTATGCATGCCAAGGCATCACCACACAACACGATCGAGGCTTCAGCGCAACCGCCTTATTCTTTGCGCGCGAACGGGTTTTCCGTCGCCCACGCCGCTTTGTACGCCGGATCGTTAAACATGTCTGGATCGTCGAGAAACTCGAGGAGCCATTCCATCGAGTCGGCGCCAAAGAAGAGCTGGTCCTGGTACGCAATCGTGGGCACACCAAAGACTCCCTGCCGCGCGGCGGCCTCTGTGTTAGCAATGAGCTTGGCCTTGATCGTAGCGTCCGTTGGCTTGACCGTCGACATCGGCAGTCCCAGCGCCGCGCAGAACTCGGGCCACTTTTCGTCCGGGTCCTGACCGTGACCAAAGACAAAGTCGAACGCTTTGTCGAGCATGGCTAAGTCGGCGTTCTCCTGTGCGAGCAGTCGAAGGGCCGGCGTCGCTGGAAACGGGTGTCGCGGCGGAAACTTGAACGGAAGCCCAAGCTTTTTGGTCGAGCGCACGACCGAGGCGTAGATGAAGGCGCGCTTCGAAGGAATCGCCATCGGTCCCACGACGTTGTGGGCCTTGAAGAGGCCAGGCAAGTAGATCGGCACGGGGCGCAAGTCCAGCTTCGCCTCGAGCGGCGCCCGCGTCTTCAAGAGTATGTACGCATACGGCGAGAGGATGTCGTAGTAGAAAGTTGCCCGCGGCTTCATTTGAAATGACGTTGCTGTTGATGCATCGCTGCCGAAAATAAGCTCGAAACGTGGCGCCCTCCTGTGCGAGTGCCACATTGCGTACCAGCCGCATGCGGGATGCGATTGCTGGCTTCCACTTCTGCGGCTGAATACTACAATGCGCACACAACGAGCACTCGATGTCGCGCTAGAGCGTTGTCCGTGCCGTGTTGCATGGTCTTATGGCCGAGCGCTCGTCGCTGGGATGGGACGGTGTGCGGCAGATGCCGAATCTAAATACAGCTAAAAACACCGCACTTGGCGCGCACCCCTCGAGGCGCCAAAGTATGCAGGAGAACCCAGTGCGAGGAGTAGGGTCTCTCTACGCTTGTTTCATGTAGATTATGCAAGGCGTCCTCTGTCGTGCGCGTGTCGGTGGTGCGGGCTGCGCGGTGCTTGCTGTTGCTACCTGCATCCGTAAGGGGGCGTGTGTTTAGCCCTTTCTTCTCGAACGCGAGCGTCGTTCGCGCCAGCAATTTTTATCCGGAGGTTTTCTATCCGGTTGCGCTGCGCGGCCCGCGCTTGGCAGCCACGAAAAGACTGCCAAGTACAGACAACCGCCATGTTCGCCGTCAAGAAGAAGCCGCAAGTCGACCACAGCAAGCAGCGCCGCGCGCTCATGCTGGACGTGCTCAAGATGGGTCTCTTCTTCGCCACCATCCGCGCGGCCTCGGTGCTCCTCAACGGCGACGAGTAGAAGCGGTGCGCTTCCATACCTCGACTTTCGCCATCTAATGTACTAACGTCCTCCTATATCTTCATCTACCTTGCTCATCGTCGTGCTTTATATATTATATATCGGTGCCTGCTTATTCGTCGTCGGCTTCTTCGTCGGCGTCTTCTTCCATCTCGACGTCCTGGCTAAGCTCGTCGTCGACAGCGTTCAGCGAGTCGACCGCGACGTCGCACTTGGCCATAAGCACCTTGAGGGCCTCGGGCAGGAGCTCCTCGGGCTTGAGCATACCGACGGTCTCGACCGAGTAGATAAAGTGGTCGCTCACGCGGCCGAGCTTGACCTTGGCGTCCCAGCCCGGCGCGCGGATGCACTCGCGGCACATGGTGCAGTCACGCGGGCGGGCGACGACCGCGACCGAGTCTTCAATGTCAAAGACGTTCATGGGGCACGTCTTCTGGAGCGTCTTGGCATCCGCGCCCTTGAGCGGCGCCGGGAACTGAATGTCCGGCAGCAACCGGTACGACGCCGTGGCGACGGGCGAGAACTTGGCGTGGTCTTTGCCGACACCCTTGCGGCAATGGGCTTCGAGCGCAATGCACTGGCCAGGACGCAGCTTGGCAATGAGAATGTCTTCCGAGACGGGGCGGATGTTGCCAAAGCGCTCCTCCTGCATGCCCTGCGGGATCCACTCCAAGTGACGCGAGTATACGGACGCGTTCGTGGCCTTGGAGATGTCGGACGGATCTTCCTTGCTCGCTTCGCAGACCACGTCGAGCTTGAAGACAAGCGTGTTTTCGTCCGTGGCCTCGGCCTCTTCGTGTTCTACACAAGACACAAGATTCCATGAGCCATGACACAGTCAAACGTGTGCGCGTACCCGGGAACGACTGAAAGTCGCGCGGGTCCACCATGAGCGGGATCAAGCCCAAGCGGTGCGCAAGCACTTCGTCTTGGATGATCGACGAGTTGTTCCAGATGTACACATGCTCGATGGCCATGGTCGGGACCTCGGCGAGAAGGATGCGGCGGAACGCGTTCGCGATCGACGCGTCAATGCCCACCATGTCAAAGACCATGCTCTCTTCGTCGAGGCTCTGGATCTTGATCTTGAAGTTCTTCTTGAACGACTCGAGGAACTTGGTGCTTGCCTCACATTCCGTGTCGGGCTACGCAGGTAGAGGCTGCATGAGGCGGCCATCCATTGCCAGCGCCAAGCGCTGCCAGGCTCGTACCATGTGGGGCGCGTCCGTGCCAATGCGAATGATCGTCTTCGTCATCGATGAGCCGTCGTCGATCCAAGCGCCGCAACTTCAAATGTGGTCGCTTGATCTTGTAGAGGCCACCCAATTGAATCAAATTATTGGTTTGTATCGGTTCCGACAAAGTGCGGGTTTCGCTTAGGTTCAACGCGCACTTGAACGGCGATTTCAAATAGTGTTGTGGCGTCGACACTGTCATGACGACAACACTCCCACGCACCCCATACAAGAGAGCCGAAGCCCGCCCCTGTGGCCACATGGGCAGCACGATGGCTTCAATAAAAGCATAGCAGATGATCTTTGGTATCTGCTGCCAATAAGATCTCAGCCATTTGGGGCGCTGGGAAGGAGTTGGCAACTCCGAGCCGTTTCCAAGAGCGCCAGAGCTGCAACACGGCAGTTTTAAGCAGAGCCCAGTATGTCGCTTGCAGCAGGCCATTCTGGTCGGTAGTATTATACAGCAGTGCAGATTAAAGTGGTGGTGCAGTACGTGCAACTTGTTCGAGTCCCGCCAGGAGTACATCTTGAGTCCCGCACAGCACAACCACAACACTATTTAAGTCTAAATATCACACACTATACGAGGTGTGAATCCCGCGGCGCTCAGTCGAATCGCGCCTGCCACCACCCGAAGAAAGGACGACGATGTCTCGAAGCTTGCGCATGGGGTCCAAGACGGACGTCTTGAAGACGCTGCGGTCGCTTGTCCGCATCAACCGCGAGAGCACGGGCAACAAGCTCTGGGCTAACCTCCTCCTTGAGAAGGTATATCATTGATCTTATTGCTCGACGCTGCTCATTTGTCTCCTCCAACTCAGTACCGTGCGCGCCAGTTCGAGACGGACCGCGAGAAGATCAAGCACTACCGCAGCGAGGCCACGGACCTCTTGACGCTTTGGAGCGGTGTCGCCGAGCAAAAGGTACGCGATGGCTACGATGCACAAGGTGCAAACTCGCTTGTGCTAGACGCTGTGGTCGTTGGACGCGGGCATTGAGAAGCGGTTCAGCTCGAAGGAGATCGTCAACAAGTCGGCGCGTCTCGTGGGTCTTCAGGTGCCCGACATGTACACGGACAAGGACGAAAACAAGCTTTAATTAAGAAGCAATACCCGCACTAAACGACGAGAAATACACAACGCGTCCTCGCCGCATGCAGTCGTTGTACTACTCGTCGTCGTCGTGGCCTGCAAGATTGGCTGCCTCGTCGGCGTCAGCGGGCTCGACCGAGACAAAGCCCGAGCGCAAGTCCTGCACCAGCACGCGGCTGTACTTGCCGCTTTCCTTGAGGACAAAGATTTCGGCCGATGTCAAGTCGCAAATGATCGCAAAGTAGCTTGCGCTCGACGGCTTTGTGATGTGAATCTCGTCGCCTTCCTGGAGAATCCAGTCCTTGTACAGCATCTTGCCCTTCTCAAAGCGAGCAAAGATCGGGTTCCCGTCGTCGTCGTTGCCCTTGCGCGCCTTGGCAATCGTAGCAGAGGCAAACGCATCGGCCGCCTCCTCGAGGAGGCGAAGGTCGCCACCAATCTCGGTCGAGCTCAGCATCTTGGCGAGCGGTGTAAAGACCGTGGCTGGCCGCTTCGAGCGCGAGTTGCTCCAGTCGTCGCCCAGCGAAAATGCTGCGTGAGGCTTCTTGCGGCTACGTGTGTGTCTTCGAGACGCTTGGCGGTTGTAGGCCATGGACGCTTTGTTGTACGAGTGCGACCCGGCGCCATGGGCGCGTTGGGCCACGGCGCGGTTCATCTCGAGCCGAATCTCCTCAAGCATGTCGTGCTTGAGCTTTGCGCAGGCTGCGACGTACTCCTTCTCGGCCTCTTCGCTCTCGTACGTGAAGATGACGTCCGCGCTCGCCGCCAAGTGGGCCGTGCGCGTCTCGCCAAACGCAAGGATGCGCTGCTTGTCCTGAACGAGCGGCGATAGGCGCGCGATGAAGTCCTCGTGCGTGCCGGACTCAATGAGCTGCAATGAGCGCTCGAGCATCGCCTTCTCGGCCAGCAGCTTCTGCTGCTTGAGCGCAGTCGGTGTTGGCATCCTGCCCTTGTTGTCGTCTTGTGCCCTGTGTCGTCTGGCGGCCTGGTTCCAAACCACTCCGGATACACCCTCGATTGTGGAACCTCTTATCCGTATTTTCCGGATGCACCGGCGTTACGACACCCTGCCCGGGACGCAGTGCATAGGAGCTCTCTTTCAAAGCTTGGCGCTCCTCGCTGAAAGCACCTCGTCCAGTGTGCCTCCTTCGTGTCGTCTGCGGCTCGTCTGCAGCAAGCACGGCACATACGCCGTCGGTCGACGTCGTAAGTACAGGAGTATCCGGATGCGTGCGAAACGTTTCCCGCTCGGTGGTTTTCATTTTTCACCTCGGCGTTTCTGAGTTCAACGGCTTTTGCCGCGCCAATCTTGAGATTCGAACACCACGCCAAGACCAGAGCATATCCCACGAGATAAGCTAAAAGGCTAGCCTTGTGCCTATGCGTAGCGTAGGAATACTGGGTTTGTGATGCTTCGTATGCAGACATTCCAGCATCTCCCTGCAGTTCGCTACGTTGCTATACTTTAGTACGTGGTGGGAGGCTCCATGTACGCACCATTGCACGCTCTATTGCAATGCGCCAGAGCGTCGACGATGGTTACTACCTCCACCAGTTGGGTCGAGGCCGAGTAATATTCAGCTTTTGGAGTTGCTGGGAATGGTTCGATATGGCCGCCAAGTTGTCGAGCCGCCAGCAGCCGGCAACAGCTCCAGTCATTTGCGTTGTACCTCTTGGTTCTACAACGTTGTACCGATATCGTACATACGCACGCGTGATATGCAGAGCCCCTCGTACGTATGTGGCTCTATCGCAATGGTACCGCGACGCCCATTTTTGCATCTCATCTCAATGCACAAAGCCAAGCACGTACATAGATTTCCCTGATGATTCGTGCGTGTATTCGCCTCGTCAAAACAACTAGCGTCTTTTCCACGCAGCCGTTCGTCGTGGGAGCGAAATCAGCAGTGGCAAGGGTCCACCAACATGGCCCTCGCCTCTCGCCGGCGTGTGGATGCAGCCAGCGGCAAATCGACTTATGCTTGTATGTGTATACTTTATACAAGGTTAAAAATCTTGTCGAGCCGTCACGGACGTGTGGCCGCGGTGGACACCTCGCAAGATGGTACGGCCTGCAGTTGAACGCCGAGGCTTCTTCTCATGCACGTGAGCGCCCCTTTGCGCTCGATGTCATCCGGAACTGAGTCAACGAGCCCAAAATAGCGAGAAAGTAGAAATAATTTCAACCGCAAATACGTTGTTCAAGATGATTTTTCATGTTGCATGATTCATAATTCTGCTTGCCAACGGCCGGCAAGATGCCTCAGCAGACGAGCTTCGAGGAGCTGGCGACGCCCCGCGACCCACCGCCCATGATGACATTGGAGCAGCAGCGACAGAACCAGGTACGCCCTACGAGCATGGTCGACCTCCTACATGGGCGGCGTAGGAAGGCGACCTTGACGAGATCCTCGCGGGGGCGAAGCGCATCAAGAACCACGCGATAGCTGCGCAGGACGAGGTCGCTGCACAGGACGTCATCATCTCCAACCTTGGACAGGTGCGTGCTCTATTATCCTTCCAATAAGCTGCACGGCCACCGGCATAGACAACAGTCGCTGCCACCGCCGAGCTCACGGCCCAAGCAGAGGTGGCCAAGGCTGTCAACAAGCGCAAGAAGCAGGTTCACAGCTCCGTTGCTACAACCGAGGCCTCATTCGCTGCGTCGTAGGTCTGCGCCTACTACATCATCATCGCCATCTTGACGGTCGCGCTCATCTTGATCCTAATTCTTATTCCGTAATGTGCAGCGTACGGAACGTTGTCTTGCATCGGCTGTGTGTATGGACCAAGTAGACTTAAGTACAGCTGACATCGCTCCTCGTTAAGTATTACAAAACACGAGGCAACTTAGTAGCGGTAGGTCTCCGGCTTGAAGGGGCCCGCGACGTTGACGCCAATGTAGTCGGCCTGTTCCTTGGAGAGGACCGTGAGCTCGACACCGAGGTTGGCCAAGTGGAGGCGCGCGACCTTCTCGTCGAGGTGCTTGGGGAGGACGTACACCTTGCCGGTCTCGTACTTGCCCGAGTCCTTCTCCTTCCAGAGCTCGATCTGGGCGAGCGTCTGGTTCGTGAACGAGTTGGACATGACGAACGACGGGTGGCCCGTGGCGCAGCCCAAGTTCAAGAGGCGGCCCTCGGCAAGCATGATGACACCATGGCCATCCGGGAAGACGAAGCGGTCGACCTGGGGCTTGATGTTCTGGCGCTTGGTGGCCTTGGCCAAGCCGAGCATGTCGATTTCGTTGTCGAAGTGACCAATGTTACCGACGATGGCGTTGTTCTTCATCTTGGCCATGTGGTGGGTCATGATGATGTCCTTGTTGCCCGTCGTCGTGATGAAGATATCAGCGACGCCGACGACCGTCTCGAGGCGCACGACCTGGAAACCGTCCATGGCGGCCTGGAGGGCGCAGATGGGGTCAACTTCCGTGACGTACACGATGGCACCGGCGGCCTTCATGGCCTGAGCGGAACCCTTGCCGACATCACCGAAACCGCAGATGACGGCGCGCTTGCCGGCAAGCATGACATCCGTGGCACGCATGATACCATCGGGGAGCGAGTGGCGGCAGCCGTAGAGGTTGTCGAACTTGGACTTGGTGACCGAGTCGTTGACGTTGATAGCCGGGAACAGAAGGCTGCCGGCCTTTTCCATCTGGTACAGACGGTGGACGCCCGTGGTAGTCTCCTCCGAGACACCCTTGCAGCGCTTGGCGATCTTGGTCCACTTGGTGGGGTCGGTCTGGAGCGTGCGGCGGATGAGGCCGAGGACGCACTTGAACTCGGCGTTGTCGGTCGAGGCCGGGTCAGGAAGGGTACCGTTCTTGGCGAACTCTTGTTCGGCCTTGTAGCCTTCGTGGATGAGGAGGGTGACATCGCCACCGTCGTCGACAATGATATCCGGGCCGTCGCCCTTGCCATCGTCCTCGGGCCACGTGACGGCGTTCAAGGTGCACTCCCAGTACTCCTCGAGCGTCTCGCCCTTCCAGGCAAACACGGCGGCGGAGTTATCGCGGGCGATCGCAGCGGCGGCGTGGTCTTGCGTGGAGAAGATGTTGCACGAGCACCAGCGGATGTCACCGCCGAGCGCTTTGAGCGTCTCGATGAGGACGGCGGTCTGGATCGTCATGTGGAGCGAGCCGACAATGCGCGCGCCCTTGAGCGGCTGCGACGGGCCGTACTCGGCGATCGACTGCATGAGGCCGGGCATCTCGATCTGGGCGATCTCGATCTCCTTGCGGCCGAAGTCGGCGAGCGAAATGTCAGCAACGCGGTAGTCTCCCATGGACGCCATCTTGTTCGTGAGCTCGAAAAGGCAAATTCGAAAATGAGCCACCTCAGATCTGGTAGCCACGCTGCCATACAAACATTGAGTCACTCGCCGTAAACCAAATCCATGGCGCCACGTCGGTCGGCGTGTCAAAATATCATTGGCCTTTTGTATTGCTCATTCAATGAATTCGGCGGACGATTTTAAAAAGCGGCCCAGCGCTTGCTGGCCGCAGACCATACACACTGCAAGTTTGTATGGCCGGGATATCCATTGGCTGCCCCCGAGTGGGTGCGGGCATGGCCAATCGGTTGCCGCCATTGCTGTGAATATCCGAATATAGAAGCTTCGCAGGGATCTTTGCGATGTGATTGGCCACAATGGACGAATCGTATGGCGTGCTGTCGCTCGTATCCGGAAGATGCGCCGGAAGTGCTCGCGCTTGGTAAACACCCACGCGCACTTGGACGCACGTGCGGGGTTGAACTTGGAACCGCGTGTGTTTGGTTGGCTCGCGCCTTGCTTCACACCAAGGCGAAGAAACAGGACGCGCGGCTGAGATTCGCGAAGCTCGAGATTCAACTTGCAGACGAGACGGGTTTTGCTTCAGTCCGCGAAAGAGATTCTTGGGTCTTTTTAGACACATGCCGAACAAGCATTTTGCGCTGCGGACACGTGGCTACGCGCACGCCATCGAAGCTTCGGCAGTAGCCGTTTCGAAGCCTCCGAGCATCACACGGCGCCAGGACACGTCTTCCATGCGCCTATGCTGCATAAAGCATCCTATCTCAACACAGAGATGGTGGTCCAACGACGGTAGTACGAGTGTAGGATGGACAAAGCGGATCGCCGTAGACAGGCCAACAAGGCACCTTCTCGTTCACACTATTTACGTATGATTGGGTTGCCGGCCACCACGAGAAACCGATAAATAGTGTAAGCCACTTGCAGCCGATTCGCCGGTTTGTTGCAATTTCGGTTATATAACCGAGCTCTCAAGTCGGTTAGAAAGGTCGACATGTGATTGGCCAAAATGGTGTTGGAAATGGCGACCCCGTTCCTTTTCGAGCAATTGGTGGTCTGCGCTCTTCAGCAAAAGATGGCTCTGTTCCGCGCGTTCGCTCATGCTCGCGCCTCGCGCCCGCTGATGCCGGCTGCCTTCCGCGCCTTCTCTTCGGACGCCGCCACGCCCGCGAGCTTCTCGATCGTGCGCCACCCGCAGACCGACGCCACCTTGAGCGCGTCGGCGGCGGCCGGCGATATCTTTGCCGTCGTCAAATTGGGCTGCACGCAATACAAGGTGACACAGGTACGCTGCTTTTCGCTTCGCGTACAGCACGTAGCTCATGTTGCGCCATGGCAGGGCGACGTGGTCATTGCCGAGAAGATCATTGACGCCAAGGTCGGCACGATCATGGACCTCAACGAGGTATATCACGTTTGTTGGTCGATGCATCGTATCTTAGCGCCTTGTCGCTAGGTGCTTTTGATCGGGTCGCCCAACCAGACGATCATCGGCCGCCCGTTCATCACGGGTGCCAAGGTCCAAGCCCGCGTCGAGGAGCAAACGCTCGACGAAAAGATTGATATTTTCAAGAAGAAGCGCCGAAAGAACTACCGCCGGTGGAACGGGTACCGCCGCCAAGTCACGGTCTTGCGTGTCACCGAGGTCCTTCCCGGCGATCTCTAAGCGACAGCATCGCTTTGTTAGAAAGGTAGAAACTGGATCCGTCGCGGAACTACTCTAAAACAGTTCAATGCAACCTGCTCCATGCTTGCATTGCACCAGCCATACTAGTAGCAGCTAGCGTCCAGCAAACTCTGTTGGGCGCCGTGTCCTGCATTGCGCTGTTTCCACCGACAGTGCTTGCCATGCCCAGTCCAGTTGGGCATCAACGACACCATCATCTTGGCTCGAAGGTTCTCCTTTTGCTTCCGCCAGTAGATCTGTGTGAGTAAAATCACTCGATAGAGAGGACGGGAGGCACGATAGCAGGGATTGCGTGGAGTCATCATTGCACTTCGCACCCAACGTCGCTCGGTGCTGCCTCGCTCCTCGATGACGGCGTTGCTTTGCAGAAGCCACGGCGGTCGTTGCCCATGCATCATCCTCCGTGATGCAACGAGCCGGTACAGTTTGTGTGCTCCCATCTAGAGGCAAGCACAAGGGACGACGCCTTGTTCAGGGTACGGATACCGCATGCAGCGAGTACCGTGATGAATGCCTTGCTTATGGAGTACATACGTCGTGGCTGACGTGGGTCGATGTACCTAGCGAGTGACTGTAGCGACTGGAGGTGCGTTGTCAGCAGCGTCAAGGAGACAAGCGTCGGTGCTTGGAGGTAGATACCGACATTGACACGAAGCGCTTCGCAGTTGACCACGCAATGCAGTCATTTTCACACATGGACAAATTCAAGCATGATCGCCGGATCCACTTGAACGCTAGTTCAGGCCAATGTAGCTCGTGGCTGGTACTTGTTGCTACCCGAATGTGTTGCCTGTCGCGCAGCGTCAGCCACAAGGGGTGTGTCTTCCCGACTAATGGTAACGACTGCCTCCAGCAGCTCGAGCCGCTACGTCAACACTACTTGGGTTGACATAATGCGTACAAACTATACTCCCGGTATCCGCGACCTGCTTCCATGCCCTTCGTACGTGCAGCGACGCGCTCGGCTCGCATCACGCCCGAGCTGTCCAGTACGACGCGCTAGCATGCTAACGCGGGCGTCAAGAAGGTTGCCACCACTACCCTATGTGTACAAGTACATCGCATCGCGGACGCTGCTTGTGCGGTCATTGCGTACTAGTAGGCAGCATCCTCGGCGGCGCGGCCCGCCAACCTCGTCTCGGTGGCACCATGTTCCATTTTTTCGATTGCTAAGCGCGTTTGCTGAGCTAGGCTACAGAGCTATACCAGCGCCACCCACTGCAGTCGCGGCCCACCCATACAGGTCCAAGCTGGCTTAGAGCCAAGCACCTCTCAAGATGATCCACGGATCTCGAGTAGAGGCACTTTCGAGGCCGACCACACCTTCCACCATCGCTAAGCTGTGGAAGCCATAGCCGCCGTCAAGGTGCTTGCTTCCGCTGCAAGCAGCAGCGACCGCATGCGCCTGCCCATGCTTTAGCGCATGCTCGGCCACCGTCCTCGGCCGGCTTGCAACAGACGCCCGTGTAGATCTTTTCGGTAAAGTCCGCGCACTTAAGGAGGACGCCACCGAACGACTGGTCGCTCAGCGGGACCAATTTGCATACATTCGTTAAAGTGCGCTTTTTTTCTTAGCTCCACCAATCACATGTGGCGGCAAACGCGCTCGGTGGTTGGTTCCCAGCTCGAGAGCTCATCCAAGCCATAGATTTCCTATCCGTTCCATTTTCAATTTACCAACCTCAACGAAGATGTCTGGACGTGGTTTCGGTGGACGTGGCGGTGGCCGTGGCGGCGGTCGTGGCGCTGGTGGTCGTGGCGGTGGCCGCGGCTTCTCGGGCGGTCGTGGTGCTGCTCCCGGCGGCCGTGGTGGCCGTGGTGGCCGTGGCGATGGTGGTCGCGGCCGTGGTGCCGGTGGCCGTGGTGCCGGCGGTCGTGGCGGCGGTCGCGGCGGTGGTCGTGGCGGCATGGCCGGTGGCAACAAGGTCATCGTCGAGCCCCATCGCCACGGCGGTGTCTTCATTGCCCGCGGCAAGGAAGATGCTCTCGTGACGCTCAACTCGACGCCCGGCAAGTCGGTCTACGGCGAGAAGCGTATCTCGGTCGATGTGCCTGCCGCTTCGGGCGAGGGTACCGAGAAGGTCGAGTACCGCGTGTGGAACCCGTTCCGCTCCAAGTTGGCTGCCGCGATCCTCGGCGGTGTCGACAACATCTGGATGGGCCCCGGCGCCAAGGTCCTCTACATCGGTGGTGCCTCGGGTACGACCGTCTCGCACGTCTCGGACATTGTCGGCCCCACGGGCGCCGTGTACGCTGTCGAGTTCTCGCACCGCTCGGGCCGCGATCTCATCAACATGGCCAAGTCGCGCACGAACGTGATCCCGATCATTGAAGATGCTCGCCACCCGCTCAAGTACCGCATGCTCGTGCCGATGGTCGACACGATCTTCGCCGATGTCGCCCAGCCCGATCAGGCCCGTATCGTCGCCCTCAACGCCTCGTACTTCCTCAAGAACGGCGGCCACTTCGTCGTCTCGATCAAGGCCAGCTGCATTGACTCGACGGCGCCCGCCGAGGCCGTCTTCACGCGCGAAGTCAAGAAGCTCCAGCAGGACCAGTTCAAGCCCGCCGAGCAGCTTACGCTCGAGCCGTATGAGCGTGACCACGCCGTGGTCGTCGGTTCGTACCGCGTCGCGAAGAAGGAAAAGTAAACTTGCACTGCTTTCCGAACTCGCGTATGTATAGATAAATATATGCCTGGGAAATTGTATATTTACTGCCCCTCATCAAACACTCTTTGTTGTTTGGACTGGGCTCGGTCTACATATGTAGGATGTGTATTTTCTGTATTTTATTCTGTATTTTTCTGTATCTGGCGTCGGCGGTCGAGACTCCCACATCTCGACGCGCGTGATTCGATGTGTGAAATTGCTTTTGTGTGTGTGAATGTCCCAATGACTTCAAAACGCGTCGGGCGATCTGATTGCCGTAGCAATATGGTCTGAACGAAAGACGTTAGTTGTACAAATTTCATATCTGAGGGACTTTCATTCGATTATTTTTATTGGAGCTTTGTGAGCTCTGTCTCTACTAGTCCATCCTACTGCATTCTCGCTCGACCGAGCCCGTCCGTGTCTCCTCCTCGACGCCCCGTGTAGTCGCATAGCTCGCCATCGCTCGCATAGTTCTAGCGCCCAATTAAACTTCAAGATCACCACTTCTTTCTCACTCTACGCACGCTCTCTTGCTCGAACTCCAACCACTCGAGCATCTAGGAGCTTGGTCGATTTGTCGGTGTCCCTTCGCTCGTGCTGCATCATGGAATCTGCGTCGGTGTTACATCCACCAGTTCGGCCGCAGCGCCACTCGGAGGTCACCAAGTCACAACCCCAGCAACGGTACGAGCTCATTAGCAGCCACGATACAGGCTCGTTCAGCTGGCTCGTTCGGTGGGAGCGAGGCGTCCCGTTCGAGTCCAGTAGATCTTATAGCAAGATCTGCACTGAGATGGGCTCGAACGACTGAGTTTCTTATTCCGCCGCGTCTTTCCAGCCTCTTCTCCGAGTCCCATTCGACTGCTTCGACAGCTTCGTTTGCGCGAGGCCAAGGGCTTTGGCCAGGACAAGGACGACACTCCCAACTCGAGCTCGTCTGCAGTTTTGGATCCTTCTTGCAGAGGTACGAAATCATCATCGCGGTTCATTGGGCTGAGCCAGAAGGATCATCATGATGAGGGTGATAGACCAAGGGATAGACTGACACCAACCTCGAGACGTCGGAGCACACTCCGATGCCCACAGTCGACACCCGGCACTGAATCAGACGCACAATCAAGTTCTGCGTGATTGCCACGCTTGGCGGTCATGAGTCAAATCGCTGCTATGCTTCCTCGCCGCCGCCGTGCACGCCCGTGTCGCTCCACTTGACGTTGGCTATGACCCGCCGCTATATCTCGACTGTCGCAGTGACGCGGCGCGAGCTACACGGCCGTGCACTTTGCCTCTCTGAGCGTCCCGATCCGCGGCCACGTCACGCTAACGAGCCGAGACGAGTCCATCGGCTACAGTGGTGACACGACGCTCGGCGACTCCTGTGCGCCGTGGATCCTAAGCGACGAGGTCGTCCTCACGTACACGGTCGACACGTATGCCAGCCCACCGACGCTGCCAGTGGTGTCGATCGACACGGTGAGTTTCTGGCACCCGTCGTCCTTTGAGCCCGAAGCGGTGTGCGGCAAGGACGACGTGAACAAGCAGCCGTCGGCGGTCGCCATCGCGCGGCTGCTCATCAACGGCAAGGCGCTTTGCACGAGGTGACGCCTCGGCTCGGAGGGCCACCTCGTGACCAACCACCGCTGCATCAAGACGCTGGACGCGGCGGTGCAAAAGGTCCAAGTCGAGCTCGGCGTTTGCGACGACGCCGACAACAAGAAGGCGGTCGCGTGCAAGTGCTCGGTCGTCGCCACCGAGGCCGAGCTTGTCTACCTCGACAACAACATGGACTTGGCACTCTTATATATTGGGAACGTGGATCTGACGCAGTGGGGTACCTCTCAATGCAACTCGGCGAAGAGATCCACATCATTGGCGCTGGTGGCCGCAGCACGCGGCGGTTGTCGTCGACTCGGGCAAGCCCGGTGTCGTCACGAACGCGAGCATCAACGTTTGTGTCGAAGAAAAAATCGGGTACGACCTGGATACGCAAGGCGGCAACTCGGGCTCCCCAGTGCTCTCGACGTCAACCTGCACAACTGTCGTGGGTGCCCTTCCGGACCCAACGGCGGCGTCAAAACCAAGAAGATCGTCGACACCTTCGTCGCCAAGAAGCTCCGCCCGGCAAACGCGCTCGCAACGAGTAGCAGCAGGCCAATTTTGTCATTTTGTATGTTACAAAAGACCTCGGGGTTCGATAACGTGTCATTTGTTGCTGTATGCACGCAGTCCACCATGTGATCACTCCTGTCGACACGTCACGGAACGTTGATGACGGCCGGCCCGAGCATGGCCGTCATCGTCACGAGGCGCGTGGCGGCCCGAAGCCCGTCTTTGGTGCTAACGTAGCTGTCAAAGCGCACGCGGTGGTCGTCAAGGAGCCGCAATTGGCGGCCGTAGAATGCCGTTTCTAAGAACTTGTCGCTCTCGTGGAAGCCCGCGCGGTACGCTGCGTAGACGCGGCGCCAAGTGCTCTTGGCTTCTAAATACGGCAACGACGAAGCGTTCTGCAGCAGTTGCAAGCCGGTCGACTCGAACGCCGTGGCAATCACTGCAAGGTTCTCTCGCGATTGCAGCGCCGCTGCAATCGCGACAAGGACCGCGCCGCCACCCGGCAGCATGCGATCATCGTAGCGCGCGTGGTGGAGCCGAGCCAAGCAGCTTTGTATCGTCTTGACAGCGTCCTGCGCGAGCGACAAGCAGCTCCGCCGGACGAAAAGCGAGACGTGGCGCAGGCCGGGCCGCGTCAGCTGCAGAAAACCCATCGTCGGTTCGTCGTCTTCTGCCGTCCTATCGACCGCGCCACTGCCTTGGTATCGCTGCACAAGCACGGACGGCGCCAGGTGCGACACCTGCGGCGACGAGACAAACACCGATGTGCTCTCAAACACGGGCACTTGAAACGCAGCTGCGACCTGGCATTTGAAAATGAGACAGACAAGAGGTGTCGAAGCGCGCGCACCGCGTGGAGCTGCAGCGTAGCAAAGCATACTACATGGTGAGCACGGCACCAGTCGTCGAGCTGGGCGTCGATGCCATAAGCGGCAACGAGTCCGTCGGCGTGACTCGCTACAAGGGCATCGCAAAGCGCTTGGGAGAAGGCGATCGACCCGTCGATGAGCACCATCGAGGCCACATGGGTCGGCGACCGCGCGAGCGACGGCGCGAGATCCACCGGCACGACCAGTCCATCGACCAAGCGCGTATTCGTGGCGCCAGCAGTCGGATACCAGTGCACAGCAGTGAGCGAGCGATACGCGTCCGAGAGTAGCGACGGTATCTTGTGGGCGATCGCGAGGGCCATCGCCATGGCTTCTTCCCACTCGTCGGAGCTACCCGAGCAGATCCAGGCGCGTGCTGACAAGAGGGTACTTTAGCTTACATGAGCGCCGCCCCGAGCGCCTCGAGTGGGCTTCCTCTTGCGGACTGAAACGAGGCCTCGCGGAGCCACTCGTGGACGTTGATCACCATGCGGTCACAGGTCGCCAGCGCAATGGCCAGCGCGTCCTGGAAGCGCGATGCAATGTCGATGCTACACACATGTTAGGGCACGACAAGCTACCAGCGCTAGTAACTGCGCAAGGTTGCAACGTACGGATCGATCGACTGGGCTTGCAGCACCAGCGCTGCCTCGGCGAAGGCGTGGACGAGGTTGACCAGCAGCGTGCAGCCCTATCGGCAGCTCGTACTCGCAGACGACACATAAAGATGCGCACTGTTCCATGCGCACGATCGTGTGCTGTGACGGCGTCTCGGAGAAGACCCATGGTTGGACTTTCGCTCGCCACGCTGCGCAGGACGACCGCGATGTGCGACGTGAGCCGCGACTCGTCGCCATCTACTCACGCCCCAGTCATTTCGCCTGTGGACCATACAAAGCATACCAACGATGAGCTTGTGGGCGCGAAGAGGTCCGAGGAGCGTCGCGGCAGTCGCTGTTAGGGCTGCGAAACCTGGCAGCAGCGACGTGCGGTCGAGGCGGAACCCCATCGTATTGCGATCTTCGACGTTGTCGGGTACGAAAATCGGTCAATTTCATGCAAATCCAAAATTCCAGAGGAACCAACTTGGGTGCAACTCAAGCTCTGAATTGTCGAGGGAGTGGTCCGTGGCGCGCCTTCATTGGTGGCGGCGCATGTATGTTGACAGGTAGACTGATATGGGGCCAGCACGCTGCGAAGGCTGGGCAAGCACAGCTACTTCCTCATCCTTGAACGACGCGACTGATGTGACCAGCAAGCCCGCTTGGTCTGGTAACGCCTCAGCGCGCCACACGTCGAGCAAACAGCTACGTCTGGTTTCCGACTCGACCGATCCGCGCACCAGTTGTGCGCACAGCGAGCTTGATGAAGGGGTGTCTGGGCCGGCAAAAGGTGATCGCTTCGGCTTCCTCGGTGGTGCTTGCATCTTGCGCATATGCTCATCACCACTATTCAGCCGCGGCTACGGTATTACTGGTCCCTCTATCATATCGTGTCAGCTGTGCATTTTGCTGCCTATCTCGCTTGCTACTGCCTGGACAGGCCCTCAAGAATATCAGAGCCGCGATCACTTCACCGATTTTGGGCCTTTCCCAGCGCTGGGCGTTGAGCGTTCACATTTCAATTCGCAGCCATGCCCGAAGCCATCAAGCACCAAGAGTCGCTCGAGCACGCTCGGTTCGCCAAGACGCAGCACCTCTGGGCCCTCGGCGTCGGCACGGTCATTGGCGGCGATTTTTTCGGGTGGCAGGCCGGCCTCAGCGCCGGCTTTCTCGGGTACCTCATCAACCTCGGCATCGCGTCCATCTTCTACATGCTGCTCGCGTTCTCCATCGCGGAGCTCTCGACTGCGATTCCGTGCGGCGGTGGCCCCTACATCTTTGCCCAAAAGGCGTGGGGCCCGGGCGCCGCCTACTTTGCGGGCCTTGCCGAGGCGCTCAAGGTCGTTGTTGTCGTCGCAATCGCATGCTCGGCCAACTCGGGCTACATGAACGAGGTCCTCGGGCTAAGCTCAAGCGTGAGCCCGCTCTGGTGGGTGCTCTTCTGTGGCATCTTTGTGCTCCTCAACATTGGCGGTGTCGCCATGAGTTTCAACATCCAAGTGGTCGCGACGTGCCTCTCGGTGCTCTTCCTCGTCATTTTCTACGTTGGCGCTGCCTTTCACATTGACTACGACAAGTGGATCGTGGCCGATGACTGGGAGTTCCAAGGCGGCGTCGGGGGGCTTTTCAGCGGCTTTTCGTTCGCGATGTGGTTCTTCTTTGGCATCGAGGAGCTCCCGCTCGCGGTCGAAGAGACGGTTGACCCCGCGACGCACATGCCCCGGGGCATCATCCTCTCGTTCGTCTCGCTCTGCACCTTGGCGTTCCTGACGCTCTTTTTCAACACGGCAATTGCACCGGGTGCCGTCGGCATCATGAACTCGCTCGCACCGCTCTTTGAAGGATACAAGACCATCTTTGGCGACACGAGCGCGGTCCGCGGCGTCTCGGTGCTGCTCATCATCGGCCTCCTCTCCAGCTTCCACTCGTTCTTGTACGCGATGGGCCGCCTCTTGTACGCAATGGCGCGCGAAGGTATTCTTCCGAGCGCCCTCGCCAAGCTGCACCCGACGCGCCACACGCCGTACGTGGCGCTGCTCTCGGGCACATCGTTGGGCCTCCTCCTCGCCATCGTGTATGTTTTTTTCGTTTTTTCGAGCAAGTTGCAATCTTATTGGCTTTTCTTAGATTGCACTTTACGATCGGCGACGCCGTCATGACCGCGGTGCTCATCAACCTCTCGCTCATTGGCGCGCTCGTATCGTACGCGTTCCAGATGTCGTCGTTCATCAAGCTCCGGTGGTCCGCACCCGACATGGAGCGCCCGTACAAGTCGCCCTTTGGCTTGCCCGGCGCCGTGGTTTGCTTTCTCATGGTGTTTGTGATCCTTGCGTCGATCGTGTACCAAGGCGCGCAGTCGTCCGACTTTCTCGTGTCCATTATCGCCGCTGCTGTCTACTTTGGCATTGCGGGCGTCGTGTACGTCTACCGCGTCAAGCACGCAACAAGCGCAATCACGAGCGACAGCGGGTCGCTTCAAGACAACCTCATGTCGCCGTCGGCCGAGTCCTTTCCGACCTCACACGCGGCGTGAGCGGTTTGTGTCCCGTACTTGCTTCAACTATATATTCGTATACATGTACATCATTTGCTCTTGATGGGGGCCAAGCAACACGATACGCTTGGCCGAAAGAAGCAGGTACCGCCGACGAGTCCCAGCCGGCTACCGGGTCCTTTGGCGTCCTTTCTGAAAGATCGTGCCGCCACGATACGATGGTTTATGCATTACTGAACCAAGTTTGCACGAGGCGCCTTAGGAAGAGCGCAATGAACTACAAAGCCACGTACGAGTGGCCCGACGTGGATGCCATGACACTAGCACATGGTACTGGCCACGCCTTTGCAGCCGTCGACGCTGCAATGCCAAGCGAGGCCAAACACTTCAACACGATCGCAGCTCGGGCTATCGAAGTGGACATCTTGTATTCGTAGTCGTGGTCTTATGCAACAGCGCGATATGTGTCGTCGAGCGAGCCCAAGAGTTGGTTCAACCCCACGGTCATGCGGTTGTCGCTCTGCGCGTCAATCTCGATGACGCGAGCCGATTCATCAAAGTACAAATGACACACGATCGTCAAATGCACTTCTTGCCCAACGAGCCTCTGCACAAGCGCTTCGTCTGAGAGGAGTTGTGGGTACAAGGCGGTGACCGTCGTCCGCGAGATGCGCAGGCGCGCGGTGATTCCCGCCCGCACCATCACTGTCGGGCCCAGCTCGATGGCTTGGATCGCTGGCGTCTCCATGCAAAAGCCGTGGCTGATTGCGTTCGGGAAGCGCCAGAGCTGCAACAGCGCGTCATGCCCTGTCTGCCCAACGTGTCGTGAGCCTGCCATGGACATAGAAGCAACGCACCTGGCCACGGAGGCGCACGTCCGAATGCATGTACGTGTGCAAGAAGGCGTGTATCTCGCGCGTCGCGACCGGGCACCCGTGGCGAAAGAGGCGAAAGTACTCGAGCACGACTTGGAGCTCGGTCTCGTGCTGGCGGACGGCGGTCATTCGCAGTGCGGCGAGGTGGCGCTGGTGCGCAGCGACGTCCGCGTGGAGGGCCGCGACCGACGTCTCGAGCGCTTCGTACGCAGCGCGACGGCCTTGGCGGTAGCGTCGCTGCACCTCCTTCCGCGTGAGGCGCGGCTTGCGCTACTTCGTCTTGTTTGTCGTGGGCATCAAAAGCCGCGATGGGTGAACATGCGTATTTCACCGTGTGTTTCAATTCCCACCGACATACATTCCTCTCATTTCTACAAGCGACAGACTCGTGGCAGTGTGTCGTGGCCGAGGAGCCAGCCTCAGGCTGGAAGAAGGCGCCGTACAAAGCACTACCCCATCCCGCAGTAAAGCGTTTACTCGTACTAATCTTTCGCCTTTACAAAGCGCTACCTTGGCGTGGCGTCGAACGTTGGGCCTGGGCATTGCCAGCTGGATTGATGGACACGGTTCGAGCCCTGGATGCCGCAAGCCAACATTTTTCGTCTCCGAATGTCTAGCCTGTTTGGTTGTATGCTGAATCACCCCCGCTGCTACGACAGAAGACAGATGCCAACGGTCGCCGACTGCCTCGCGCAAACGTTCCTCGTGGCGTGACTTGCCATGGTGCCACGTCATCGTGCGTTCGTGTCAACAACGTACAATGTCATTCATACCCCGACACGTGTACTAGTCCAATAACGTAGTAGCAATACTGCCATCGGTTCCTTGCAACCAGCGCCATCTCTTGATCATCGTGGTATCGTGAGCTCGCCGTTGGCTTGTATCTGAGCTCCGTCAACAATGAGAAGTGCGTTCTCGGCACCGACGAGTGCGAGCAAAGCGGGAATGATGCTGCCGGCCGTGTCCATGCGCGAGATCGAACCGTCCGGTTGAAAGTGAAATGTGTTGACGATCGGCATCGAGAGCACTTGTCCGACCAAGCGCTGGACGAGCCACTCGTTCTGCAA